CTGATAGACAAAGCACTACATTAAAACTTCAGCTTTTTTATCTAAGTGCCTCCTCTGTATTTTGTCTTGAAACATCTTCTCAAACTGACTCAATTCTTTAAGAAGCTTGATTATAGCTAGAAGCATGTAACTTCTGAACTAATGCTTTCTTAACTCTTGTGTAAGCAATTTCTCCCCTTTTCTCCCACCTCCTCTCACAACCCCATTTTCCTGAGGTCTTGCTGTCCTCTAGTGGCAAAGGGCTATGCCATATAAAGTTACGGGAGCATTTGAAAGCAGATGTCCTCTCCTTCATTATGATTTTCATTATCTCTGCTCCAGGTAATTTTCAAGCGTCTCAGCAGATGGATTCTTGAAAGAAGCTGATGATTTCAATTTGACACACTGTAATAAAGTTACTGAGTGAAACACAGCAAGTTCAGTAGCTATTTGAACTTAGAACTATGCCCCAAGGTTGAATTTGTTAGGCAGTTTACAATTAACCACCGGTATGTTGTATTAATTCTAGCTTGAAAAGAAGAAGTAGATGTACCAGAGGGTCTCGTAAATGTGCCTAGAGAAATAAATTATCTTAAGACTTTTCATGGGATTTTCAGCACATTTCTTCAGACTTCAGTTTTACAGTCCAGCTTCTAAAATTTAATTTCATGCCAAAGTCTTGCTTATGAATGTAAATTTCTAACTTGTTGAGCTAATGATGAACTACAATCAGTTTCTTAGTTACTCTGTCTCCTACACTCACAACACCTCAATTTCATGTCAGGTCACAGAAAGGTGTGTGCAAGGTGTAAGCCAGTCATAATGATGGATATAGCCAAAGCCATGCTGGGTCACATGGAAAAGGGAAGAAGAAATCTAACTCTCCATCATTTAGCAATCACCTCACAGACACCCCACATACCAGTCATTGTGTCTGGTGAATCATGGAACTGCTGATGCTTACTTAGCAGGAAGGTCTCAGAGGAGGACAGAAGCAGATGTCTTCCATGCAGATGAACAAAATGCAGGTTTCACGTCAGGGCAGAGAGGACAAAGTAATTTTCATGGTCAGGGCTAAGATATGGCAGTTTTAGGTCAGCATCTGAGTTAACAAAAAGGATGTTGTGCAGAAGTTTGGTCATTTACCTTCCATTTAAAGCATCTTCTTCTTTCAGGTCATTATCAACATTCATTCTAATCATAGCAACTTTCATTTTTACTGGGTAGTCAATCTGTGGCAAACTATCATCTTCAAATCTTTGTGAGCTTCCTCTTATCTTGCTATATCCTGACCTTGTACATTAAATTTTACTGGAATGTATAAGTAATAATATATCAGACATATTATTTTATAAAATTAATATCTGCTAACTTGCAGCTGAACTTAATAATACATGTAAAAAACCCCGTCTTCTCTCAGAGGTCTAATTCTTGCAGTTGTACTTTTCTCAATGGGATAGATCCTTAGATCTATAGAGAAATAAAGAGTAAGAAACTTCAATAATATATCATGTAGTAATAAAAGCTATATCCCCGCAGACTCCACATAAATATTTTTAAACTGTAGCCCAAGAGATTTTAAGTAACAGCAAATAAAGTATTCAGAACGTTTGCACAAAATTGGTTATGCCATAAAGCACAAAAGTCTGTGGGCTTCTACGTAATGCACACATTAAAAAAAAAAAACAAAACACATTAGAAAAAAATCCAAAACAAAACTAAAAACCAACCACAGTCTCAGTAGTAGGAGAACATTGGCAGAGTAGGTGTTCCATTGTGGATCAGAAGTACTAATTGCATACTGATGCTGAAGGGGTAGACAGAAGAGTAAATTTGTCAGAGGACCAGCCAAGGTACTGTGTTCCTCATTATGTGGATTCAGGGATGGAAAGGAGCCTGGGTCTGTTACAGCTTAAGTAATGAAGAAGCATTACAAAGTACAAGTGCTCATCTGACAGGTACCTCTGTACGACGTCTGGCTGAGGTAGATCTACTTTTCTTCATAGCAGCCAGTGTGGTGCTGCCTTTTAGATTTGTGACTGAAACAGTGTTGATAAGACACCAATGTTTTAGCTGTTGCAGAAGAGTGCTACTAAGAAGTGGAGAGCATCAAGTCACTCTCTGATACTCACTCTGCTCACCAGTGTGAAGACTGACTAGTGTGAAAAAGGTTGGGAGGGAACACAGTCAGGACAGCTGATCTGGACTAGGCAAAGGCATATTCTATGCCATATAACATGATGCTCAGTAATAAAGCTTGGGGCTCACCTTTCCAAAGAAGCTGTTCCTTAGCGACTGGCTGGACACTGGTCTGCTGGTGTGAGGTGGTGAGTGACTACCCCTGAATCACTTCTTGGTTGGTTGTTCTGCTTTCTTTTTTCTCTCTCTTTCCTCCAGTAATTATCTTTATCTCAGCCCAAAAGTTTTTCTTATTTTTGCTCCTCTAATTCTCTTCCCCATCCCACTAGGTTGGAGTAGTAAATGAGTGACTGGTGTGTGCTTAGCTGCACTCAGCATATCTCACATGTGTAATGTTTTAATAAACTGTTTAAATTAAGTAAATAATAAAAATGGTAAACATGAAGCTGCTCAAGTATCTCAGAAGTCTTCACTGACTGGTGAAGAATTTCATGGCACAAGTCACCCAATGTCAATGTCTTCAAGGGACTAAGGATTGAGATGCTCTAACTGAAACTCAAAAAATTAACATAATGACACAAATTTTTAAAGAACTTGCTATGGTGTTTTTTTCAGCAAATTATTTTCTGGGTCAATTCATTTCTGAAAGTTAAGACTTTCTCTCTTTAGGCTTATCCTCAGGCATTCTGAGACATTGTTTCCGACATTTGTGCAATGAACAGTTGGATTCCTTTCTGAATTGTCCTAATCGGTGATCTAAAGCAATCTTTGTTAGTTTGCAAATTAGATATTGAAGCAAGCTATTCTAATCTCTAAACGCTAGGAAAACCAATCCATGAAGCAACAGGGAAGCAGTGTAATTTTTCTGTTTAGAAAGGGTTGTGTTAATATGGTTTTTACTAACCATAAAAATTTCATAATGCACCCAGAGGCATCATTAGAGAAACAGCATTTTCAGTTCTTCCAATCTATTTGTTAATGTCAAGTGGATTATTAGAAGGAATTCAGGAGCTCTCACAATACTACAATTTTTATTTGAGGTTTAAAACTTGGAGATTTTGACATTCATGAACTCAGAATATGAGAATAAATCAGTTCAAGCACCAGCATGAATGTATTTTTAATTATCCCCAGAGCTCAAACAGCAGTGAAGTGCAGAAACAGCCTGATACCAACATGCAAATGAAGAAACCAAGAACCTTTGCTTTGTTACAGAATTACAGGCCTATTTGCTGAATCATGTAATACTGAGCAGGCCATGTTAGTGTCAATATTAGAGGAAGCATAGTAGCACCCTTCCTCTTCCCACAGTTGCCACATATTCTGTATCCGTCTTTCTCACTGAAGAAGGGATTAAATGGACTAGATCACAGGTGTGATTTATCAGTAAATGATATTCATACAAGAAATTATTTTTTCTGCATGAAAACAAAGGGGTGAAATCAGGGCAAACAGCACATATTACCCAAACCCAAGTTTTTACTCAGGGAACTAAACCAACATTTTTTTTTTAATTTATCCTAATGCACACAAAAGTAATTTCCCCCTCCAATACATTTTGAAACTCAGGGATGTCTCACCCAAACCCAAGTTTTTACTCAGGGAACTAAATCAACATTTTTTTTTTTAATTTATCCTAATGTACACAAAAGTAATTTCCCCCTCCAATACATTTTGAAACTCAGGGATGTCTCATTGGAGAGACATTTATAAGATTTTCTTTTCTTTGTTAAGAGGAAATGATTCCCCTGGTAATAAGTGAGGCAAAATCTATTTTAAGGTAGTGACATTTTTGTTATTCATGCCAAAGGTAGGGCAGGTTCTGGGAACAAATGGACATCCTCCTCAGCCACAGGGATCTGATCCGCTGAAATCCCTAAGCTGGATGAAGGAACCAAACAGGGTTTTTGGAGAGACAAGAGAGGAAAAATGGCATTGGGATAATTCAAGGGGCAGCTAATCCACAATTGCTGTATTCCTGAAAGGGAGGATGTTCAGAGAATTCACGAGTGTTTCATGCAAGGCCCAGAAACAGGGCAAGGTGCTGGCACTGAACTTGGGTGTGACGTGGTGTCTTGACCTAACACTCGCCTCTTGGTGGACCCACTGTCAGCTTACTCAGGTCTTCCTTGGCGAGTACCAGTTGCTCTGAAAGTTACAATTTCTGGGTGGTGAGAGAGAATTCACCCTCAAGGTCTCTACAATACAACAGCTGATGACACAACCTGTGTGCGCCTCCCTGTTGGGCTGAGAACTGGGTGATACAAGCGTGTAGACAAGCCTGCCGTGCGCCGCAGCCTGAGGGCTCCGGGCTGGGCTAACGAAAGGGAGAAATGGACACTTGAGGGGAAATAGATGTGGTGAGGAGAAAATGGACACTTACTGTGTTTGTTTTTTGTGTTTTGTTTGTTCGTTTGTTTTGTTTGTTTTTCTGCTGGCGCTGCCCTGCGGGGCTGAAGCATCTCCGGCCGCGCTGAGATGGTTCCAGAGGGAAAGTTTGCCGAGACCTCACATTTTCTCGTTTTCAACAGCAAAAAAACCCTAAAACCTAGTCACTTTTCCTGAAAGGAGCGGATTCCCGCCGCCAGCCCCTCCGCTTTTCCCCAGCCTGGACTGGTGGCTCGCGCTCCCCCTCCCGGGCTGCTCCAGCAGCGTTCTCCAGCAGGGAGCTGCCGTGGGACGGGGCGGGAGCGGGAGAGGGAGGGAAGGAGGGAGAGAGGCGGCTCGCGGGGCCGCTTCCTCCCGCTCTCCCTTCCCGTCCGGTCGGCGCACGGAGCGGACCATGTCCCGCAGCCGGCAGCGCTCCGCCCCGGGCGCGTCCCCGCCGCCAGCTCCCGCCAGAGGCTCCGGCCCCACGGCCCGGGGTTAGAGCCGCGCCCGGTGGCGGGAGCGGGGCCATGGGGACGGCGTCGTCCCTGGTGAGCCCGGCGGGCGCGGTCGGGGAGGTGATCGAGGACACGTACGGCGGCGGCGGCGGCGAGGCCTGCGAGATCCCGGTGGAGGTGAAGCCCAAGGCGCGGCTGCTGCGCGGGTCCCTGCGGCGCGTCGGCGGCTCCCGGCCCGGCGGGCTCATCGGCGCCAGCTTCAAGTCCACGGCCTCGGTGCAGGAGCTGGAGTGCGTGGCCGAGTATGAGCGCCTGAGGAAGGAGTACGAGATCTTCCGCGTCAGCAAGAACAACGAGGTGGCCTCCATGGTGAAGAAGGAGGCCAAGCTGGACAGGGAGAACAAGCGGCTGCGCGCCGAGCTGCAGGTAGCGCCCGCTGCCCCTCGGGTGCGAGGGACTGAGCAGCAAAGCTGGGGATGCGGAGGACTCGTCCCGCTTCCCGGGAAAGCTGTGTCAGGGAGGTGGCGGGTGCGAGGGAAGGCGAGGTGCTGAGGGAATGTTGCGAGCCCCAGTGCTGTCCTGGTGAGCCATAGGGATGCCGTCAAGATGTGCATCTGGGAGCGGGGACCGCGCCTTGCGGTCACTGTGGTGACCGGCGATAGAACCCGTGGGAATGGCCTGAAGTTGTGTCAAGGGAGGTTTAGGTTGGATATTAAAAAAGGGTTCTTCCCCCAGAGAGTGGCTGGGCACTGGAACAGGCTCCCCAGGGAAGTGGTCACAGCACCAAGCCTGCCAGAGTTCAAGAAGCATTTGGATAATGCTCAGGCACATGGTGTGGTTCTTGCGGTGACCTGTGCAGGGCCAGGAGATGGACTCCATCCTTGTGGGATCCTTGTGGTCCTTTCCAACTCAAAATATTCTATGATTCTGTGATTTTGTCTGCCCTACAGTAAGGAGAGGTGTAGGGTGCTGGGATAACGTTGTAGTCAGACCTGAAAAGTAATCTAAACCATCAGTGATAAAACTCAGAAAAAAATAGTATGTTAAATGTTTCCAGGCACTTCAGAAAACTTACCAGAAAATACTTAGGGAGAAGGAAAGTGCCTTAGAAGCTAAATACCAAGCAATGGAGAGAGCTGCTACTTTTGAACATGATCGAGACAAGGTCAAAAGGCAATTCAAGGTATGGCTTGACTTTTCTTTTCAGGGGAAAGTGACAAAAAAAAAAAAAAAAGATGGATGTCACTTGTTCATGTTGCCCAAACACTTCTCCAATTGCTTTCATGAGGACCTCTCCTTAAAAAACCTTGAAGTGTCATAGCCTATTTCTGTTTAAGATAATCCTGCCAAAGCCTCTCTAAAACTATGAGAAAAAAAATAGAAAATAAATTTTTAAATTTTAAAAGGAGAATATGCAGTGATGCACGTTAAACTAAATTCTTGCATTATTTGAACACGGGAGTATATTAATTTTTGGGAATCACAAGAAAACATGGGCTGCAAACTGACATATGCTGAAGGAATGTATAAACACGGAGTTTCATTATTTCCGAATAAATTTCTTATATTGCATTGTAAGGTTTACATTAAAGAAAAGTGTGTATTGGTGCATCTGTTTTGGCTGTTAAAATATGACAGGCAGTTAGAGACAGTTTGCACTTTCTGAAGAGATGACTTGAAAGGCCCGATACTTCTGCTGTTCCTTTGCTGCAAATGACACTTCTGCCACCCAAAACAGGGCAGTAGGTCCTAGTTTGGTACAGTTTTCAAAATTCTTCTTATCCTTAATGGTAACTGCTGTTAATATTTGTCAGATATATAAAGAGAGGATTGGTTTTGACCTTATTTAAGAAAATGAAACTTGAGAAATATTTCATTTCTTTAAATTTAAATCTAGGTTTGTATTTTCTTCCCCACATGACACTAATATTTTACAAACAGGACATCTGGAGATGCTTGATCACTTTCTATCATAGGAAATCTAAATTTCTGCACCAATAAAAAGTAAATACAAGTTTGTATGTAATTGGAGAAAATTACATAGAATAATAAAAGGGAACCTTTGGAAAAAAGTATTACATGTAGTGATTTTAGAAGACAATAAACTTCAAAACGTGAAGAGAGTTATTTGCCATTTTTAATGAACATAATAATGAAAGCTTCTAACTTTCAGAATGGTATGCTAAGGTTTAAAATGGTACAATTTTAAAAATAGATAATTTTATGTTTTCCTGCTCATTTATATACTACTGATGGCATTGTGTTCACATTTTCATGCTTTTACCTGCTAAATGAATGCTAGAAACTTATTTTTCCAATTGAAGCTATATAACTTGAGTTCAGGGACTGATAATGAATTTTAATTTTTTATTATTATTATTTTCTGCTCGTAGATTTTTAGAGAAACTAAAGAAAATGAGATTCAGGACTTACTGAGGGCCAAACGAGAGCTAGAAGCAAAACTCCAGAGACTTCAGGCCCAAGGAATCCAAGTGTTTGATCCTGAAGAGTCTGATTCTGATGATAATTGTACAGATGTTACAGGTGAGAATTTTATCCCCAATGTTTGATGTTGGAACATGACTGAAGTCTCAGTAAAGCACAAGACAATATTTATGTTCTTTTGAAAAAAAGTTGTATTAATCCAGATGAAAAGCAACTTAAAGTAGTTTAAAGGATAAAAGCAATGAACTTTACAAAACTGTTTTAGATTGTGGGAACCCCACATTTCTGGTCTTATAAGTGAAGAGATGATGAAGACCCTGTACTGTCTAGACACAGCGACTTGAATGTTTTTTAAAAATTGTTCCATGAACAATTTTGAGGTTTTTAGTCTTTTCTGAGTTTTCGGATCTTAGATCTGAGAGATCATGCCCCAAAGGATCCAAAAATCACACCTGAAACTAGAGGGAATCTTAGACACTTTGGATGATGACTTATGCCAGGCTCAGCTGATGTACTTTTCAGAGTACCAGAGTTAGATATTTACAAAGATGAAGTATATGCCAAATCTTGTTTATGCTATATGAAGTATTTCATAACATGGGAAGGGTTCAGATGGGTGTGTGATCTACCCACTGACTTTGATTCAGAATAGAGCAGTAATTGTAGCAGACTTAACACTCCTCAGATGGCCATTACTTCTTGCACTGTAAAGGGTTACCGAGGAAAAGCTGTGTGCAAATGCTGTTGCTTAAGCTTTATTTTGCTTATTGAGATATGTCAACCATCACTTCTTGGCAGGATTATTTAGAAGTGGAAATGTTTCAAAATACAGTGATTTTTTTTGCACAGTAACTGTGCAGTGTCTTGGGCTGCATCAAAAGCAGTGTGGCCAGCAGGTCAAGGGGGGTGATTCTGCTGCTCTGCTCCACTCTGGTGAGACCCCACCTGTAGTGCTGCGTCCAGCTCTAGGATCTCCAGCACAAGGAGGACATGGACCTGTTGGAGCAAGTCCAGAGGGAACCACCGAGGTGATCAGAGTGGTGGAACACCTCTCCTGTGAGGAAAGGATGAGAGAGTTGGGTTTATTGAGCCTGCAGAAGAGAAGGCTTTGGGTTGACCTAATTGCAGCCTTCCAGTACCTAAGGAAGCCTCCAAGAGAAATGGAGAGAGACTCTTTACAAGAGCATCTAGTGACAGGACAAGGTAGAAAGGCATCAAACTGAAAGAGAGTAGGTTTAGATTAGATATTAGGAAGAAATTCTTTACTCTAAGGTTGGTGAAGCACTGGAACAGGTTGCCCAAAGAAGCTGTGGATGCCCCATCCCTGGAAGTTTTTGATGACAGGCTGGGTCTCGTATTGAGCAACCTGGTCTAATGAAAGGTGTCCCTGCCCATGACAGGGGAGTTGGAACTAGGTGATCTTTAAGGTCCCTTCCAATGTAACCCATTCTGTGGTTCTATGATTTGATGAACTTAAATGCTATAGAAAGTAGTTTTCCTTTATATATTTTTTCTTTCTCCTTTTGTATTAAAATAACTTTTCAATTCATAATTCACTTCTTACCTCTTTTTAAGTCTTTTTCAATTTCCTGATTTTCTCCATGGAAGATTTATTTAGTGTCTTGACTGTTGTATATTGGTGGGCAGAAGTGTAATCCAAACAATATTATGAAGAGATGCTGTCAAAGCTCTCTCAGACAGCCCAAATTTCAGTCCTGACCTACTGCCCCTTTATGCTTTTTTAGTGCTGGAACAATTCCTGAACTAAAGTTTTGTTGTGGGCACAAATGACTGCAGCAATACTGTGAACTGTTTTCCTGATTTGTAATGCAAGGCAGTATTTGAACCAACAGATGTGAGCAATCTATGTAATAGCAAATATTATCAAATAACCTCATCCTTTAGCATCATGGATTTGCATTACCTTTGGACAAGCGCCCATTTAGAACTACAGAACACAAAGGTGGGAGCAAATCTGCTGAAGGAGAAAAAAATTAGTCACTGGCATGTGGCTGTAGGTTTCAACTGGACTATTATGGACTGATAATTTACCTTGTTTAGTGACAATGAAGAGGGGTGTTTTTTTGTTTTCCAATTCTTAGCTACTGGGGCACAATCTGAATACTGGAATGGAGGAGTGTTGGGAAGCGAGCCATCCATGGGTAGTATGATGCAACTTCAGCAGTCTTTCAGAGGGCCTGAATTTGCTCATAGCTCCATAGATGTGGAGGGACCATTTGCAAATATAAACAGAGGTAAGTAGTGGTAGTTTGTTTTGCTGGGATTATAGTGGTCTACGTAATTTTTCTATCTGTTCTTAAGTAATTCTATTCTTTCTTTGCTGCCTTTCTGTCCGTTCTTGGGTAATTTGACTAAAGGGTTGTTTGGAAATCTTCCTTGTGAAAATAAAAGGAAATGTAGCTGTATGGCCTAAGTTTAATATATATGGTGATTATGGTACATGCAGCAGTGATTTTAGCAAACATCAGTGACTGGTGCTTTACTGTGAGTAAACCAAGTACCATTTGTTGCTTAAACTGATGAGGGAAGATGGTGAGCTTTCTTGCAGTATATGCTGGTGTTCTATTTTCTGTTTGTATTCAGATTCTATATTTCTTGAGTAGTAATGTGACATTTGTATTGTTTTTTTCATTGGATTTCTATGGGGTTTGACTCTGCCTAGGGGACCATTTATGGAAATCTAATTACAAGACCAGGATGTATGTTTTTTTAATTTAAATCAGTGCTAGATACTTTCTTGTCAATAATTGTTCTTTTGAACTTTCCCAAACGTCTCTTGTAAAAATTGGCTTCTGGTACTTTGGTTTCCTTCACTGTTGTCCTGGATCTTCAACCTCTCCTGCATATAGTTGACTTCACTGGCAGTTTCTCCCTTTTTTCTTCAATCCTTTAGGCTCTGATATAGTCTGTTTCAGACTCTATACAGTCTGTTACCTGCAAAGTGGGAGGGGAGGGTCTGCCCTGTGATGGTCAGTACCTTGTGATACTGAAAGGAGAAACTATTCCTGTCTTGAAAGAATGGCCAGGTGTGGGTCTAGTTACAGCAAGTGCTGCAAAGCATCCTGGGAGTTGTAGTTCTAAGTACTCTGTCACACATGCTCTGTTGAATGCTTGTATGGGATTGGCTTAAGAAGTTACCTGTGTGACGTGGCAGCATTTGAAACTGCTATATAAGCTGGGACTCCTTGAATAAACGCACTCTATCTCTTGTTACACATCACGTTGGTGTCGCTATGGTCCCCATGGGACTTATTATTTATTATATTAATAACTGCTACATATGGCGCCCGGAACAGGGACCTAAGCCTTATCCTGAATCAGGAAGAAATACGGACCAGACGTCAGGTACCAGCCTATATTTAACGCTGGGGGGGCGGCCGCCGTGCCTGAGGAGAAGCCGCGAGGCGGCCCCGCGGCCATCCCCGGCGGCGGAGCAAGCTTGCGCCGGGACTGTGGCGCAAGTTTGTAAATGAAACTACAGTGGCGCGGGGCGCCGAAGGCGGCGCGGCGGCTTCGGCGAGCACGTGTCAGCGGCGCAGAACTGCGAGGCCTTCGCTGCCCGCCTGCAGCTGGAGCGCGGGCAGCCCGTGCCGGCGGCCGGGCCGTGCCTAGAGCTGACGGCCACACTCCGCTACAAGAGCCAGCCCGCCCATGTTGCCACTCCCCTGAAGCGGACCACGCGGCCCGGGACAGCCGCACATGCGGCACAACGCAGCGCCGAGCCGAGGCCTGGCGGCGATGACCAGCGACATGGCCCCCACCGTGAGCGGGCCGGGCCATGGCCGCAGCCACTCCAGCTCCTCCGGGAGCGTCAACAGTGACAACGCCGCCTCCCCACCCCCGTGAGAGAGGCGGCGGCGGCCCGGGCAAAGACCTGGGCTGAGACCAAAACTATACAGACACTATATTACTAACTGTTTTTACATGTTTCACATATAAACCTTTAAAAATTATTACAAATGTTTTTATCTAAAATAATTTAGTTAACTGTCTTTAGTTTTCTATTCACACTAATAAGAGAGAAAAATTCAACATTGCCTTATTAATACATTTTTAAGTTTCTAATTTCCCTGTAACTTTGTTTAAATTACTAATAGTCACATTTACTGAGTATTGTTTAAAATTGTTAAGTTCTTAAACATATCTAAATAAGTTTAAGTTTGTAACTATCTCGTTTAAGTAGTAATTAGCATCTTTAAGAATTTCTATTGTTGTTAGTTAACAGATTATAATAGTAACCTACCTATACATTTCTGTAAGTACACACTCAGGAATGTCCACACTACTTACCAGTATTATACCTTTAAATTCATTAACTTTCAGTATTCACAACAAAAAAAGGGGAGTAGAGGGTGAGAATATGCATGTAATTAAGTAAGTAAATCCTGAGTCAAACAATTTTCATTCTGACCAAACACTACATAAAAGTTTAAGTTGTATAGCTAGAATATGAAAACAAAGATTACATGTATGCATGAATGAAAAATGATTGGGGTGGCCACCCGAATGAGTGAAAGAGAGATTGTGTGAATGTATGAATGTATGTGAACCATTTACACCTTATACAAAATATCTGAAACAAACACACACAACAAACACTACCTCTAATACATCACCTTAATAAAAGACAACTCAAAACATGATGTTCCTCCTTTAAACTTTTCCTTGTGTTTTAATAAAGTAAGTTTTCCCCAGTTATATATAAACCCTCAGATTAATAAAAGTTTTTGTTCTACCCAATTGCAGAAGACCCTTAGATAAATAAGGTTTTTAATTAATAAAGTTTTATTATTACATAGAACTCTTAGGTATGTAAAGTTTAAGCAAGAAATAAGTTTACTACATCAAGTAAAAAATATATTTGTTAAGAATTACACTGTTTTTTGAATTTACACTGTTTTGTATCTTGTTATTAATAAAAAAATGGGGGAATTGTGGATCTAGTTACAGCAAGTGCTGCAAAGCATCCTGGGAGTTGTAGTTCTAAGTACTCTGTCACACATGCTCTGTTGAATGCTTGTATGGGATTGGCTTAAGAAGTTACCTGTGTGACGTGGCAGCATTTGAAACTGCTATATAAGCTGGGACTCCTGGAATAAACGCACTCTATCTCTTGTTACACATCACGTTGGTGTCGCTATGGTCCCCATGGGACTTATTATTTATTATATTAATAACTGCTACAGCCAGGCACAAAATGAAGAAGGTTTTAAAAGTCATTGCTTCTATAGGGAATAAACATATACTACCATAGAAAGCAATGGACTTTTTCTCTAGAAAAGGAAGTTCCCATAGTGTTTTGCTATTATTTATTCTCATGGTGTAATTGAAATGCATGTAGCTCTGGAGAAAAAAAAATGTTTGGTTATGAGTGAATTTATTACTCCTGCGTATTATTACTTACTTTACAGCTATCAGTTTGATTTTGTGGAAACATGTCATCAATTCTTTTTAAAGGAAATACTGTAATGATAATGTAAATATATTTAACACTCTTGTTTTGCCACATTATCAAATTGTATGACGTTATCAGATTATATGGGTTCTCTAAATTAAAATTTATGAAGGTTAAATAATTGACTGAAAGGTTACTACTGTTTTAGATAAAATGTAGTATTCATATTATTAACAGGTGATGACTTGTCTTTTATGCAGTTCAATGAGATGTGAAGACCTCTAGATTTCGTTTTGGTTTTTTTTTTTTCATTGACAGATGATTGGGATGCTGCTGTTGCCAGTTTATTACAGGTTACTCCTCTGTTTTCCCACTCTCTGTGGAGTAACACAGTAAGATGTTATATTATTAGTACTGATGAGACTCAACCAGAAGTGAACATCCTCATTAGAGTGAGTACCTCACAAACTTATGCTCACTTTTATGCTGTTTTGTTTCCGATGTGATACTGATTCAGAAATTGGTCTAGTATTTCTTGAAAGTTTTAGTAGATGTAGTCTGATTTAGAAAAACCCAGTGAAATATTGTTAAGGACTTCAGGGGAAGAAACTGCCTAGAGAAAAGAAACGGAGAATTGGTTAGTAGGTCTTTAGTGCTATGCATGTTTAATAATAAAGCACTGTTATTCAAATTTGCTTACAGAGCTACTCTCCAAAACTTCAAAGAGTCTGTGAAACAATGGGGTACTTCTTTCAAGTTGTTCATTTTTCATCAGAAAATGAAAGGCCTCTTCAGGATGTAAGAAAATGGGAAATTGAAAAAAGTTCGTTAGTCATTTTGCTCCTGCATTTAACTTTGCCAAGGTGAGGATTTTCCAGACTGGTAAAACAAATGTAAACTGGTAATTTATGCGGAGTGCATAGCTCATTGAAATGTATGTGATGTTTTGCTCAATACATTTCCTAATCTAATATCTTCAAAGTGATACTCCTTCAAACTTTAGGTTTGCTAGTGCAGACACTTGAAAGGATATATCAGCTTTGTAGCATTTCCTTTTTCTTGTAGCTACAGATTCTCTTAAAATACAGCTTGAAAGATGCCTTCATAATATACAGAAATGTTTTGCTTTCCAAGAGCAGCTCTCTGTTGTGCATATGACTGTGTCTTAGGAATTCAAGATGGCTGGTGCAAATGTCCTCAGTGGTTTTCATTTGCTTATCTAGCCTTACACCTGTCTGTAGTATTTTGGGTTTATTCTATCACCTATAAGTTCCTGCTTTGGGACTCATTTCATGGCACTCCTGTTTGTCACCTTATGCTAGCTTTTGACAGCTTGATTTACTGAAGTCATGATGTTTTATGACAAATAGTGATGCAATGTGTTCCATTTGCTCAGTGAGTAATTTCCTAACCTTCTAGAAGAAGAAACATGATTTACTAAATGAAAAACACCAAACTAGGGATACTTTCAGGATTGTGTTAGGAGTGTTACTGTTATCCATTTGAAAATTTTGAGTGGAGTGTAGTTTTGATGTTTGCAGGAGAGAGGGGTGTCCTTTTGCTGAAGAAGAGAGAAAAAAGGATTAGAAAAGATAATATTAAGAATCACAGAGTGATCATTCCAAAACATGAATGCAAAAATCTGAAAATACCAGTATGCATAAAATTTAATTTTAGAGGTAGGTTTTGAACTCTAGGGATTTCAAATACTGTTGTGTTATTAGAGCTCTTATATTAACCCTCTTTCTGTAAATAAAAAAATTGGTCCACAGAGAATTAAAGGCTAGTTTAAGATACTAGTAGCTATGATTTACAACAATAAAGTGCTTTAGGAAACAACCAGGTGCCACAGATTATTATGATTTGTTTTTATAGAGGAATTGGACTATAGCTGCCATACATTTATAATCTTAAGAAGATAATGTCAGCTGCTGAGGATATGTTGGCTCTGAGGGTTTGCTGTTGCCAAATAACCCAGTTTTGTGTATGTGGGGCACGAGTGTTTAAGAACAAAATAAGCAAGGAAAAAAAAACCAAATTAAAGAGTGTTCCTGCCAATAGTATTAATTTAGAGAATTTCTCTTAGAGAAACTGATGAAAATTGTAGTGTTTGTATATGGAGCAAAATATTTGAGAGATCCCATTTGCTATTGTCAGCAACCCTAAGTCATATAGTTCCTTCTGTGGAACAGGAATGTGAATGATATGTATGGATATCATTCATATATTCAAATCCAAAGTGCTTTTGAGTTTGGAGGTGTGTAGTTCTCCTCTAACTGCTATAAATTGTAAGACTGTCCTATATCTGACAAATACTAAAGGATTTTTCCTATAAAGATCAATGAATAGAACAGAGCCTTCAGAAAACTGATGACAGAGATACTCATTAATCATATGTGAAACCGTATTCTCTCCAGGCAAGGCATGCACCTTTCACTCTGCATATGGTATGACAGGAATATCAGCTTTTAATTTACAAATCAATAATCATAAAAATTAATAAATGGTTTTAATGGTTTTGGTACAATTAGCATAAGTTTTCCCTTAACTTTTCCTTGCTTCAGAGTTTTTCTTAAATTCTCTTTTGAAGTGTTTGCTTGCCTTTAGCTGTAAATAGATATGACTTTTGAATTAGATTTTGCAGTGAAACCCATCCTCGGAGCTTGTGTTGATTGAACTGTTTACTACAGCAGTGTAATATAGCACAAGAATGCTGATTTCCAATCTAGTTGTTTGTTGGAGGACTGTGAAGAAGCCTTCTTGAGAAATCCAGAAGAAAAACCCCGGTTAATTTACCACAGAAAAGAGGATGACAGAGTCAGTTCAGTCTCGGTGCAACAGTTAATCAAGCAAATTTCTTGCATGAACAAAGCAAAGGTATGGCATTTAAAAATGGTTCTAAACAACACTGAGTGCTAGCAGGCCCAGATTTTAGGAGAAATGGCATTACACTCATTGCTCTGGATGCTCATGTAAGCAGATCGATGAAGCTGTAATTTATGAATGTTACAAAATTTTCATTAGCAGGGGAGAAAAAGAGCTACTGCTTTCTTCACTAAAAAAAATATATTTGGCATAAGGATAGAACTTCTTACCTGTGTTTAAGGCATTTAAATGGCAGAGTTATTTATATGAATGCCTGTGCAGCCACTGAAGAGAAAGAAGTGTACCTCCAGAGAGATTCCTCCTGTCTGAAAATAGATCAGTTGCTATTTTTTTTTTCCTCTACAGGGAGAACTGTTGAGAACAGCTGAAACTAGGTGCCCAACTTAAAGATCTTAGGCAAAATGAATCTTACATAAGGAAGGCAGCAGAGTGGAATTTAAATGTGTTGCAGAATGTTTTTGTGTGAAGTCCTAAATACTGTTCTCAATTGGATTCAGATTTGCATCATGCTTTGCCATTTACTTTTTCAGATTATTGACCATGTTGGAGGTGTGGAGGAAGGAGCATATGAAATCTATAGCTGTGTGGAAAAAATAATTAAACAGGTAGAGTATATGATACATTTTAGCTTTTTCTGTTCCTACTCTGATTTGTGATCTTAAGTCATGTCAGTGTGATTACTGTATACTACTTGGATGTAATTCAAGGTATCTTTTTGTGTTTTATCATTAATATCTGGCACCAAAGAAATGTGCAAGTGGAAAATAAAACCCCAAACTGAGCAGTGATTTTATGGACAGAAGAAGTAACACCAGGGGAAAGGGATCTATTCATGGCCTAAATTAGCTTTCATTTTCTCTTTATCCATATCATAAAATAAGGAAAGATTGCATAGTGCATTCTGTCCTTATTCTTCCTTGTGGTAAGTTGCTTCCACTATGAGATGACTAAAATCAATGTCTTGAGATCTGTGCATTCGGAGTTAACTTGGTTTCATCTGGTTGCTTATTTATTTATGTTCTCTTCATTTCTAAAAAGAAATGAGCATATTGGTGTTAGTAGAGTTGCACTCATACTAAGACTAATAGCAAATATACCTGCACTGTTAAGAATTGTAATTGTAGTTTTCTCCATGTAATTTTCCTTTTACTTAGGATATATTGGGGTGTGAAATGACAGAACTAGAAGGCAAGGATTTGAGTAACAAGGAAGACTCCACTGCTCCTGAAGAAGAAGTTTTTGGTGATGTATTGTGGGATGCACACGATGAACAAGAACAGATGGAAGCTTTTCAGCAGGCCTCTAATTCAACATGTGAACTGGGATTTGAAAAAGTAAGTACATTGGAAAGGTATATGTGTGAAGAAAAAAAAATCATGATTCATTTCATTGCAAGGCAGGATGTACTTCAGAAGAAGCTGTGTCTGAGAGCATCCTTGAGGGCATTACTCCTTATGCTAGAGGAAACTACGTTTCTTATATAGATGGCAGATTTCTTTTCTGGGAGTGATGCCAGTCTGTGTGTTGTTGAATGGCATTGATGAAGAAGTAGTTGTCATGCCTGCACTGGAAAGAAGTGCTATAATGGTGTGCCAAAGGCTGTTTGTCCTCCTAGACTTCAGGACTTTGCTCGTCAAGAGAAAAGACTGAATGTGTTTGTTTTTTTTTAATTTGCTTTTTCCCTGAGGAAATCCAATGTCTGTCTTGACACCTGGATTTAGGTCTTTAGGATATGACTGATGAAAAGATTTCACCTCATCTTGCAGCCGTGTAAGAAGAACACAGGAAACTTTAAAGCAGAAGGCTGCTGAATAGCTCAGTACTTACTCATTACTGGACATAAAGTTTTCAAAACATTTCAAGTTGTGAGGGAAGGTATAATGAATGTAGGAAGATAAACATTAACGTTGTCACAGAACATGGTGCAACAGCCTGTTTGGGCAACCTTCTTTGAGGTTATAATGTAGCATAAGCATGCAGTTTCTGCATTATTGTATTTAAATTCTTAGTGCCTCTATTTACCAGCATAATATGTTCTTTTACTTCAGTACTCTTATATTGGTGTTGGTTTGGAGGACTGTACATCTTTACTGCATTATAGAGCAATAAAATATTAGAACATTAAGGAAAAAATATCAATCTATATCTCAATGTGCCTCTTATTTTGAAGACAAAATATTTCTCCCAAGCAGGTGATGGGTGTGGTTTCGGCTTTTTTTGTCACCTGCTACAACATTCTTGGACACCCAAGTGAGCCCAAGTGAGTGGTGAAAGAAGGCCTTCTTCTGTGTGCTTAGTGTCTCAAAATATCATTTATGGCAATTGCCAACTTTGAAGGCTTTGTCCTGGCAACCACACCCACTGCAGTGGAGTAGTTTGGGGAAAGAGGGGGCGAGGAAGCTTGAACAAATATTGTACCCTGTTGCTTTACTATAGTAACACTTACCCCCTTTATTAGCACTGAAGATTCAATTGTTAATGAAAAAAAGCTTATTTATTTCACACTTCTTTTAAAAAAGATAATCTGTGGTTTGTGATTCCTTACATTTTTTCCATTTGTATTTCATTTGTGTTGCATTTCAGTAGTTATTCCTTTACCTTAGTAAATCAGTACATGCATTTTGAATCTACATGGTTTGCACTACCAGATACTGTATTTCTGCTTAAAACAGTGGAATATTTATAATGATTGTTTCTTTTTTTATAGTATTTTGAACGTCTAAATGACCTAGTAGCAGCACCAGCACCAATTCCACCGCTGCTTGTATCAGGAGGACCAGGCTCTGGGAAATCTCTCCTTCTGTCAAAATGGTAGTTTGAATTTAAATTTTTTTTGAAAATGAAATGAAATTTAGGAAAAACGAATTACATTTCAAATATTGTATCAGTCTAATTAGAGGTAGAAAAGGGGCATTTACAATGCACTGTAGTTACTGAAACATCCTGGAAAGATTTGTGATATTTGAGTAGTTAATTCCTTCTGGACCTCCTTTAACATCTACCTGTCTTTGCACAGCATTACTGTGTGGTTTTGGTAGCTCAATCTTATTGCCCTTTTCTGATATACAAGAGGGGTCTTCTGGAGTCTTTTTAACCAAAATAAAGGAAAAATCCCAAAAATTTACCATAGAAATGTATTTTGTGGTCACTTGTATGCTATGACAAAATTTGCTGGCATAAAAATAAATCGATAGTGTCATTGCCTCTTAAAAGTTACTATCCAGTGCCAGGAAGGGCATTTGTTAATTGTTATTGGTACTGGGGAGAGCAAAAATGGAATCTGATATTAAAAATTCAATTATAGTTCAGGAAATTTCTATCCTATTTTGTAAGATAAACATGGAACACCTCTAACTAAAATACTGTATCTTCTTTGGCAAAACTGAGTGGTTATATTTGAGATACATTTGCAAAATTACACTCTGTTGAGTCTTTTTTCCCTCTCTTCTGTCATTAGGATTCAATTACAACAGAAGCATTCACCAAACACTCTAATTCTTTATCACTTTGTTGGGAGGCCCATGTCTACTAGTTCAGAATCTGCACTGATAATTAAACGCCTTACTTTGAAGGTATGCTGTATTACATACCCTGCATTGCCTCTTGCTTTGGAAAGTGCCAGTGCATGTCAAAAGATAAAATTTTCTGTAGATTTTTCTACATCAGTGAAAAGTAATACAAATGTAATAGAAAAGCTTTCGAGTTCAGATTGGACAGGGCTCTGAGCAACCTGATCTAGTTGAAGATGTCCCTGCTTATTGCAGGGTGTTGGTGATCTTTGAAGCTCCCTTCCAATCCAAACTATTCTGTTAATCTATGAAACGTAATGCATTGTAGAATGGGGGGAATCTGATCCCACACATTGAATATAGATAAATTAAATAGCATATCTGGGATATTCATATTAGATTGACATCAGCAGTTTCCTTTCCAGTGACCTATATTGATGACTTATTAAACCATATAAGCTCCTTCCAAAATTCCTTGCCATCTGGCCAATGAGAGAGGCAGGTGGTACCTCTTCTGTCTATGTGTTTAGGAACCTGAGGCTGTATTGGACCAGTTGGCACCATATTGTTCCTAGACTAGTCTCTCTCCTGCATTAGTTTATTTTTAATTGTTTAATTGTGTTAAATGTGTGGGGAATAAGTCTTTTTGTGCCAGGGTCTGAGCTTGCTTTTTCCATCACAGGGTGGCACTAAGGACCTTATAGGACTAAAATCTTTAGAAAAATGAGATCAGTAGCACTATCCTTGCAATTTCCTCGTGTATTTTAGAAGTTTACTTGTTTAACCTGTGCAACTTTAGGTCTTTTAAGTCTTCAAATTTCTTGTCCATTGTCTAAACTCAGGTTATCTCTCTAGAATTTGTGTGCTGAGTTCAATAAATATTCTTTGTTCTGCATATACTGGAAGGAAAGATTTGTGTGTGAACTTGACTAGAGAAATTGCCCCAAAATCATGGGGGGTTTTTTGTTTGTTTGTTCTTGTTGGTTTTTTTTTTTCCTCTTAGGACTTCTTTCAACTGTCCTACCTGATTTTTAAGGTAGAATTTCTTGTATATGTTTATACTTCTGCAGCTTATGCAACACTCTTGGTTAGTGTCACCTCTGACTTTTGATCCAGCTAAACTTCTGGAAGAATTTCCCCGTTGGCTGGAAAAACTTTCTGCACGCCATCATGGCAGCATTATTATAATTATTGATTCTATTGACCAAATACAGGTATGTTTTCAAAGTGTTTGCTGTTTGTCAATCTAAAGGAAATCTTGACTACTGTAATAGGTTCAGCCATAGCCGTGTAACGGAAATATTAGTATTTGCTTTGCTCCAAAGAGAAGATATAGAAAATAGTTTTGTAAAAAGTGCAGTTGTGGTTTTTTTGTAGATAAATTTTATGCTGGGTTGTTTGGTTTTTTCTTTTTCTTCTAAATTTATCTTAACACTTTAATTTTTGAGCAGTTTGGTTACATTACTTACCGAAACACTCAAGGCTGTGAGCTGACATATTGGGCTTGTAAATAGCCTTGTTTTTAGGAGGTGAACATTTCAGCAATAGTATTCTATCTGCTTGATGTAGTGTACAGTCATGCTGATACTTATAATTGGATCATTTAGTACTGCCTCAAGAACCAGACCATGAACAATTTTTAAGGACACTGGAGAATTTAAGACTCCTTTCATTGAGTTGTGCAGTTGATGAAATGTGTTAACTTCTGGCATTATTTTGAACAATCTTTATATTAAGCAACTGCAATCTGTTTTTAAGCAAGCTGAGAAGCATATGAAGTGGTTGATAGATCCACTGCCAGTGAACGTGAGAGTGATTGTGTCAGTGAATGTAGAAACGTGTCCACAGGCTTGGAGGTATGTTGTATTTCTGAGATGTTTCAAAGCAGCCTGGGCTAGAATTATTATTTTAAATCATTTTAAAGAGCAGACAGACTTGTCAAGATGTGGAGATTTAAGAGGGTATGCTTTTGCAACGTGTGAGACAAATGAGAGCTTCTCTATTGTAGCTGCAATGACAGATTTTAGCTGTTGGACAATCAGATTTCTGTTTTACTGTGATGGATATCCACACGACTGCATGAAAGATGATATTAAATGCAGTCAGATGCACATCAAGAACCACAGTACCATGCTGTAGATTCAGGATAAGGTTAAAAGTGGAAATTTGACTTGAGAGAACTAGAATTTCATAGTAGCAGGGAACAGCTTCAATTACTGCTTTGATATAAATCTTTTAAAAAGCTCTGGAGCTGGGGTGCCTTTTTTTTTTTTCCTTTTGTGCGCTATTTAATAAGGTTCTAATATGACTTTGTTCTCTCTCACCAAAGGTTATGGCCCACTCTTCATCTTGATCCACTGAATTTCAAAGATGTTAAATCTCTCATTAGTGCAGAATGTAGCTCTGCAAATGTTAAATTGACTAAAGAGCAGGTATGTCTGTTGTAGTTTTTCTGAAGTACCTTACTCTGGTATAACTTTTAATGAAAACATGGAAAGATGAAAAAAGCCCAGCTACCAAAAGAAAGTTTTATATTTAGCTAACTAAATACACCATTGCTTAAGATAGCAATGGCTCCTAGCACTGAAATACAGATGGAGCAGCATAAATTTTTAACACATAAACAGTGCAGTTGCACATATTGCTGTAAATGCATTATTTTATTTTAGCATACTAGAAGGTTTGATTATTTTTAATTAATTATTATTGCATAATAATGTAACAGTGATTGGCCGAATGGGGAAAACAGTATTTTACCTTTGTCATGGTGACTGATTCTGTAAGATAATCCTCGTTTTGAGGTATAATGTTATATCCTAACTCTTCATCTTAAATTCAAAAGGAAACTTTCACTCATATGCTCCTGTGGCTAGAAAAATGTGCAGTATTTTGTGCACTAGTTACCATGTCTTAGTGTTCAGATGTTACGGATAGAAGAATATCTAGAACTTTTATTTTCTTGTCAAACAGTGAATGTTTTATTCGTTTGGTAAATTTCATCGGTTCACAGATTTTATTTAAAATGTTGCAGGAGAAGAAGCTTGAGAGACACTGTCGTTCTGCCACAACTTGCAATGCTTTGTATGTCACTCTCTTGGGCAAAACCATTGCTTGGTAAGTTGAGATGCTCTGGAAATTATTATGCTCATCACTAGATTAGAAGACTTTAGGTTTGTTAGCCTTTTGAAATACTTTCATTTAACATAGAATGAATCTTATTAATTAAAAACAGTGGAGAAGTATGCAAAGTTTTCCCCCTTCACTGACTGGGAATCCAATGGGAAGAGAAATTAAAGAGTATACAGTCACCATTTTGATAATAAGTGAATCCAAATAGTTGTATCTTTTTTCAGCTCTTCTCTTTATATATCTTTTTTTAATCATGTTCTTCTTTCTGGGTATGTCAGTTGCTCCAGTGCTTTATAAAGGTATTTGGAGGGTGTTGATATTGTTTTGTTAAACAGTTAAATTCAGGTGTGTGGTGTTTGTTGATGTACCAGATAGCTTACCTCATAGATTTTTAAGGCTAAAAGGAAGTTCAGCAACTGTTTAGTTTAACATCCTGCATATGGTACTTAGCCTTATAATTCCTGCTGTGGAGAAAATTAATCTTCCCTCTTGTGCAAGAAAATACCTAATAAGTGCATTGGCTTATTATTAACCTAGACTTCATCTTGTTGAGAAAGACGCATTTTTAGTTAAGAGACTCCCAGAAGATGATACGCTAATTGATAATTTACTCCGGGTGACTGATTTTCATTATTTTTGTTTCTGTTTTATGTTCTAGAAGGCTTAATTGCTCCTGAAAACATACTTTGTAAATGCATTAAATGAAACAGCAGCGTATGGTTTTATCTTTATCCAACCTGATGTTCTTATTTTGTACTCCTGCTGAAGGGAAGAACACTGCAATTTACTTTTTTGTACAATAAAATGTCGCAGCTATTTAGAAAAATCAGACAATATGACAGAAAGTGGGTTCTGGAACTCACCTCTTCTGTGTTTAATCTTACCAGGTGCTGTGCACCTTTTGAACTCAGTAGGAATCCAGAGCACTTTTGAGATAGAGCTCTTCAGTAGTTTCAATTCCAGCTCACTCAGCCAAATTTAATATGCTCAACCTTGCCCTTTTTTGTCCTCCTACTCAGCATTGGAAATACAGGAAATATTGACGAAATCCTTCGGCAGTGTTGCCAATGTCAAGACACAGTGTCATTGTACAGGCTTGTTCTGAGATCAATTCAAGAATCATTGCAGAGCGATAAAGAGAAAGGTCTTTTGAGAGAGGTAAGCAGAGAATGCACCACTGTTTCTACAGGTAATGTACACTCTTTCCTGTAAAGGGTTTTTTTTTGACTTAAAAGTACATATAAGTTTATATTGGTCCATATGTATGATTCAGAGATTAGTGTTTATTATTAGTATAGAAGGGACAATTTTATTAATCTAATTAATTCTGCTCCATAACTATAGAACATATGACTGCTTTGTGTTAAATATAAACTTAGCTGTTGTCTCACAAAATAAAGCAGAGTTCTTTCACTATGATGTGGTATAGAGTTAGCACTTCCTTGCTGATATGCTGATTAACTACATTAAGCATAGTAAATGCAGTCAAAACATGGTATCTTGTGACTATAGGGCACTGCTTGTTACATTTCTGGCTTCTCTTCCTACCTTTGCAGAATTACCCTCTTGTGTGAAACATTTTTTTCCTTATTAGGACATGATACTCATTAATTGCTACTTCTTTGGTAGTAGCAGCATAACAACTTTCATCATATTTTACTTAGATGAAAGTTCCTCATGCTAATGAAGTTATTTTTCCCCAGTGTTTCAGAGGAAAGTCTAAGGAACCATTTGTTTATCCCAGAGTGTCCCATTTGGTGCTTCATCTATTAGAATATTCATCCATTAGCACTGAGGTCTCTTCTTTGAGACGAGAAGGGGGAAACGGCTTGCGTAGGCAGGATTTTTTTTTCCTTTGGCTATAAAGTTATCACAGCAATAAACAATATTTTTCTTGACATTTCAGTGTAACTGAGCTCTGCAGGAAATATTGCTAACCATAAAATGTGTTTTCTGCTCTCTGTAGATACTGTGTGTCATTGGTGTCAGCCACAACGGCATGAGTGAGTCAGAGCTGATGGAGCTTTATCCTGAGCTGACTTCTGCAGTCTTAGCCTCACTCCTTCACAGCCTGCACAAAATGTGTTTCCTGACATATGGCTGTGGTTTGCTGAAGTTCCAGCACCTCCAGGTAATTCTAAACATGTGCAAGTGAAACTCCTCACGCCCTGCCAATGCCAACCCCTGTTTTTAGATAAGTTCTGTTGCTAGCTAGGTAGGCCTTGATATGTTTGTGTTTGCTCATCCATTCTCCCTAACATCTGGTCTGATTTAGAATCACCCTGAAAACTACTAGAGCTGTGATTGTATTGTTGAAAAGCTGATCTTTCAGATCTTCATAAATTTCTGATATATTAATTGTTAACTCCATGTGTCCCAGAAAAAACTAGTTCCACAAAAAACACCAAGAAGTATTGAAGGAGAAAGGAGTATTACCTGAATAACCAGAGCTTTGGTCTAATATAAGACAATCTGTTTGTAGTGCCTGTGTCGTTGAGAGATTTTCATTCTATAAAATGAGGTGTGTTTCATCTTGCATAACACTCTGCGTATCATCGGCACTTAAATTAAATGCATTCTCTTGCTTTTAATTATACTTACTTTCAGGCTTGGGAGATGGTGAAACTAGAGTATATGGAAGAAGGTGAAAATGTTATTTCTGCCTATAGACAAAAACTAGTGGAATATTTCACCATGCAGTTAAGGTAGGTCAGAATTCCTGAAGAAGTACTAAATTGCCTCACAGATATTTTTGTTTTCTTTATATTCCTTCTTTGACTGAGTTTAGTAAATTATTATGGCAAAATAACTCTGCAAAACCCAGTTTAGAAGTTTTATTGATATGTTGCTTTTTAATCTTGGAATGGAATGAGGACTGTGAAGGGGAATGGGCTATGATAACGATAAAGTTATCAGGTGAAAATATAGGGCATGAATTTATACCGTATGAGTTATTTTGTACCTGACCCCACGTGGATTTTTAACTCCCAGTAAATGCTAGGAAATTTGAGGTTGCTTGGAACTTGAATCACAAGACCACTAGTGTTCAGCAAGCAGTTGGCACATATGTAAGAGGAGGTGCAGTAGGGCAGCTGAGCATCTACAAGTTCATATCCAACTTGCAAACTAATTTGCATTTACATCCTGAGTTAATGTGTCTCAGCTGTAGGCTGCTGCTTACTGCTCCTCTGAGCATCCACTGTTGGGTAGCAGAAAGCCAAATGGCAGACAGAGGAGGCACAAAGGGACACTGGGCTGCTGTAGGGCCGCAGTCCTGCTGGCAGGCACACATTAGCCCATATAGGATGGAGAAACAGCTTCCTGTGGAGTGCCTGGGGGTTCTGAGGTGAAATTAAAATGAAGATGTAAGAAAATGGAGTGCATAGGTCTTACAGTAATCTGTCTGGTTAGACATTCAGGTGTGGCAATTGTATGCTTGCCTAGTTTTCATGTCAAATTGACAAGTTCTCTTAGGCCTCTTGGGGTTTTTAATTTTGATTTGTTTTTCTTTTAATAGTCGAGACCGAGTGACTTGGAGAAGTGCAGATGAACTTCCCTGGCTCTTCCAACAGCAGAGTGATAAGCAAAACCTACACAAGTGTCTTTTGAATCTCTTTGTATCCCAAAACCTTTACAAAAGGTACAAAGGTAGCCACTGCTTTGGGGATTATAAACATTTCAAAGTAATTTTTTGTCATTATAAATCAAAAAGTGACAGATGCAGATTAAAAGTACTTAAATAACAGAGGCTGAAGTGCTAAATGCTGTTTTCATAATAATAATAATCTGTTTTTTCTATTCTGTTACACCTGGGGATAAAGGGATAAATATTGCTGTTGAATAGCATTGGTCTCTGTGGATTGTCTCTGTAGATGCTGTAGCATAAAGACAACATTTGTGCATATGGCCCTTTTTATTCTAAGCTAGTGTCAGTCTGAATAGAGGGGTATCAGAGATAAGATGAGATTCTTATTTCCTTGTTAAAACAGGGGACATTTTGCAGAATTGCTGAGTTACTGGCAGCTGGTTGGGAAAGATAAGAGCTCTATGGCAGCTGAGTATTTTGACTCTCTGAAAGAATATGAAAAAAACTGTGAGGGAGAGGAAAGTATGATCTGCCTGGCTGATCTTTATGAGACCCTGGGACGGTTTCTTAAGGACCTAGGTCTTCTCAGTCAGGTAAGTACGTTTAGAGATTGTTGTAACAGCAAAAAGGCAAATTAAGCAGAGCTCAGTGTGTACTTTCTATTGCGGTTGATAAATTGTTGTAGCGTGTATGATGCTGCCTGCTGCCATCATACTCTGAACTTGGTTGTTACAGGCTGTAGCTCCACTGCAGCGATCTCTGGAGATTCGAGAGACTGCGCTGGATCCAGATCACCCCAGGGTGGCACAGTCACTTCACCAGCTAGCAGGAGTGTATGTTCAGTGGAAGAAGTTTGGAAATGCTGAGCAGCTCTATAAACAGGCATTGGAAATCTCTGAAAATGCATATGGAGCTGAACACCCTCGGGTAGCCCGTGAACTTGATGCACTTGCAACCTTGTACCAAAAGCAGAACAAGTAAGCTTAAATACGCTGTTGTTTTTATTTTATGTGGAGGTAGTACAAGAAAAGTAACAGCAAAGATCTTCTTCCTGAAGCCAGAATTTTTCTTTGGTTCTTTTTTTGAGTTAGTATGTTCTAATGCAACCATGAGCATCCCCTCTCTATTCTTGTAGCAGGCCACCTAGGAGGGGCCTATTTTTATGCTTAGTTTAACAAAAAACTTACAGAGATAAAGGAGGAGCATTGTCTGGCCCTTGGCAGTTTGGGAGTTTTTATCTTTGACAAAAAGTGTGATTGTGTTCAAGATTCCTAAATTCTCAAATTTATACCCTCAAGTAACTTAGAAGCTTTCCAGCATACTCACTGATGCTACATTTGACGTCCTTCTAACACTGCAAATAACTATTTTCAGATATGAACAAGCTGAGCAACTGAGGAAAAAATCCTTCAAAATACGGCAAAGAGCAGCAAAGCAGAAAGGCAGTTTGGTAAGGAAATGTGTGATATTTTGAAAGAAGTGCAGGGCATGTTGCAGCTCTGCTAAAGAGATGATAAAACGTGTCTGCAGAGCTGACAAAGCTTAGGGTTTTTGATAATTGTAGGTAGTGAAGTAGCTTAGCAGCAGCTCTGGTAGCTGCCCTTTCAACTCTGCTGGAAGTGGACGTGTATCAGTACAACTGGAAGAGAGTTGAGAGAGGTGGAAAAGAAAGAAGTGGATATATAGGTCTCAGGGGTGCAGAATTACTGCTGATAGCATTGTCTGTCAAAGTCACAAGGGAAAAAGGTGTTCTCCAGAATAGCTGAGGCATTTATCCTACCAGTGAATACAATGCTTACTGCAATGGAAAATCCCAGTAATAGTATTAGGTAACATACTGAGTTTTTATCTTCTGTGCTGTTTTCCAGCTCCAGGGTTCCTCTTGTCATTCTTGAGCTAAGGATTTGTCATGTAATGCCTGTACTGTAAGAGTTCAACTAATAACTGCAGAGCTCTAGTTGCAGCTGTAATGAAAGTAGTAAAAAGCCATAAAAACGCTGCTATTCTCACAGTGCTTAAATACAAATGAATTTGTAATTTTTTGTTCATAAATATTTGGTCCATTTCTGTAATGAGTTTTGCTGCACAAATATTTTTACTAAGACTGCAAAGATCAAAAATAGTGTGTAACAATGGCCACACTTCTTACTTGTGAATCATTTTGCCTGTAAGCATTAACTTGGCAGCCCATTTTACAAAGATCCATGTGATGCCTTGAGTAATACTGTAAAAGCATTTGGTGTTGGAGATTACATTGATTTTAAGTTTTGAGCTTATAAACCTAAGAATTTGGTCTAAATTTTGGTTGTTTAAACTGTGGAGTTTAAGCAAATTAGCATGTATGATACAGGGAAAACAGTTTGTGTGACAGCACAGTAACTTGAATTGCCTGGGAATTTTCACCAAACTTTCACATTTTAGTTACGTTATAAATAAGCATGAGCCATGTAGCTCGAGAAAAAAACTTAAATAGAATTACTGTGCTCCTTTTGATTTTCTGTCTTGAGTGTTAAACTTCAAAAGTAATGGTGATTGGCTTACATTACCTTGTTCTTTGCTGTAGTGTGGCTTTGCTCTCCTGCGTCAAAGAGCCCTGCAATTGGAAGAGCTCACGCTGGGCAAGGACACACCAGATAATGCTCGAACTCTTAATGAGCTTGGAGTCCTCTACTACCTGCAGAACAATCTTGAGTAAGTTGTAGCAATTGTGACACCTCCACTGAGTGGTCTCAGAGGTCTAAATGGAGGCAAAGCATGGAGAACAAGCATTAAATGTAGACACACGATCAAATACTTGTTATAGTGCTGTCCCTGAGTCATTCCTCTGGTTTTTGTTTGCTGTGAAATTCACTCATATTTTCTAGATTTTGTTGATGCTTTTGGCATGTGAGTATTTACCAAATCAGTTCTTTTTCTGCATTCAGAATTGATGTTCCACAGTTGCCTTTGTTGCAGATACCGGTTCTCAAATTTGTGCCTCCTCTACTCAGCTTCACTATTTTATGTAGTGTACATTTTTGAATAGCAGGATTGTTGTTTTTCTATGAAAAACACTCCAAATTCCAGTATTACAAGAAATCATGACTTAAATATTGACTGTGCTTGTAATTGTCAGGATTTTACCCTTATGGCCTGTCTAAGGGCAAAAGAGGACAAAGCAGCACAAAGGTGCTCTAAAAGCAGGCAGAGATAGGCAGGGGTGTTGAAGAATGGGAATAAAAGGTGCAGGACAGTTCTGATTGCATGGTTAGCCACTTTTCACATCAACTTCTTCAGTCCAGAAAGTAGTCTAAAACTGTGTGTTGTGAGGGAATTGTAAAGTCACCTTAAATCCCACTCTACTGAACCAAATCTTTTCAGAGAAGAAGGAAAGTGCCCAGTGATAAAGCACAGATTAAGTTCTGAAAGTATTTTTACATTCTTCCTGTATATGACGTTTATGGCACTAGTAGCTTTTGGGTAATAAGAAGTATATCATTATTTAGGAACTGCATACAGAATCTCTGTTAAATGCATAACCTCTGCAGTGAAGGAATTGATTTTTAACAGTTGTTGGAAATTTGGGGGTTTTCCTCAGTTTACCCTTGTGAAGTGACTGATTATAGAGGAGTACTATCTTATCTCATCTCATACATGATTGTTTAATATTCCACATTGTTCATACCAAGTCCCTGTTCAACACAACCTGCTTCAAGAGTAACAGTATCTCCACTATTTCATAGGTGAGCAAAAGTATGAACTTTGTTCTAGTGTAGGTTTAAGGAACTTTTAAAAATGGATATTGTGTCTCTGTCCTAAACGAGCAAATCCAAAACTGATTTTTTGACAATTCATGCAGTTAAAATGAAATCCATGGTGAAAGGGTATGTCTCTTAATTAATATCTATATATCACACATCATCCTTACATATAATGAACACCTTTTGACACTTGTCTAAGAGCTCCAGAATTGAACCTATTGTTCTGTGTGTCAATGGTCTTTTTTCTTTAACATGAAATGGATTTTTCCAATTTATTAAGCTGACATCTTGGGAATAGGATCACACAAAATTTTTGTGTATGTCAGGATGAGGAACTGCCTAGTTATGATGGATGCTGTCAGTCTTATGGGGGAATCACCCATTGTTTTGACAGAGGAGCTGCTGTAAACCTGTAATGGGATAGTAATAGATGACTGCAGTGAGATAAAATATGCCCTTTGCTTGAGTGGTGGCATTACGCAATCTTTTCTACTTTGTCAGTTCTCACAGATTCTACTGTGAGAATCTAGCCCATGGCATATATAAAATCCATTCCAGTCTCTCCCCGTTTGGCATGAAAAGCTGTCTGTTGAACGCTTGAACATGTTTTACAACCTTTAAAGTTACTAGAGAAGTGTGTGGTGTGTCCTAAACCTTTACCTCATACATCACGATTGCTTTATCCGTGGAAGTACTTGATTATTATGAGAAGTTGCCCAGAAGTCTGAAGAATGTTTTGAATAAGGAAGGATTACTTGCATAACTGAAGACAGAGGTTGAATTAAAGAAAAGGGTAGCTATGGGGGCATGTAATCTGCTAGATGGCCTTTTCAGTCCTTAATGGGGGGATCCAAGTTTGCACAGAAATACATTAACTATCTCTTTGTCTGCATCCATCGCGTTGACATCATACCTAACAGGATGTATAGTTCCACACTGCACAAAAGAATTGCTGATTTGCCATTTGCTTATTTCGAGGAAATCCATTACCAGCTGGCAGCACCTGTGAAGCTTCCAAGCCTGAGTTTGTTCTGTTTCAAACAGGCACTTGAGCCTGTAGAGATGTTACCATAATGTAGAAATATCCTGAACAAATATGTTCTGTAGGACAGCGGAGCTTTTCCTGAAGCGCTCCTTGGAAATGAGAGAAAGAGTCCTGGGTTCCGACCACCCGGACTGCGCACAGTCTTTGAACAATCTGGCAGCCCTGTACAATGAGAAGAAGCACTATGACAAGGCTGAGGAGCTCTATGAGAAAGCCTTGGACATCAGGAGGAGAGCGTTGGCTCCAGATCATCCTTCCTTGGCTTACACTGTGAAACACCTGGCGGTGCTGTACAAAAAGATGGTGAGCACAAGCCTTTTATCTTCTCTTAGCCTGTAAATGAACTGTAATGCCTTCCATCGTTACAGTCTTCAGTCCAAAAGGAGTGGAGCATGGGGATTTTGGCAGCTTATTGGTGTTCTAAACACATGCATAAAATATGTAGTAAAATGGCCTCAGCATGTTTCCAAAGAGCCCAGTAGCACTTCCAAAACACACTTTATTTAAAGGAAAGCTATTTCTGATTAATGTTGTCGGTGTCCTGCATGCTCAGTATTCACCACAAAGAATTTCTGGTTTAGTTAAGAGTGAATGTTTTAGCTGCAAGTGAGGGAAGCTCTTCCTAGCTGTATTTGAGTTCTCCACTGTCTGCTACGTGACATCCACGTGCAAGGGTTTGGTCAGTTGTGTCCTAATGGAAAAATCACGTTTAAGGGTATACAATTAGTTCTTTTCATACAATGACCTTGAACATTACAGTCCAGTTGAGGTTAACTTGAAGGCTTATGAGCGAGATAGTGCTTTACAAATAAACTGTCTGGCTGAACCATCTTCAGCTTACATTGACCTAGTGAAAGATGAGAGTTACTCCCCTGTAAAATGCACTGTGGGGAATAACATGTGTAAATGCAGTACAAACTGCATTTCGTAATTTAAAAATGTTTTATGAATATCTGTGTTTGTAGATGGTTGTTCTATTTGATAATATCAGTGATATACAGTTTCCAACTGTTGAACCAAGATCAAGTTCAGTGGATGACAAAAAAATTTATTTATTTTATATTTTCACATTTTACTGTTCTTCAAAGAGAAAAAAGACTTGAAGATAATCCCTTGGATCAGATGTGCCTGTGTTTTTGCTAAATAGTTGTTATCTGCTGTTCTGTGCATCAAATAGTTTGGGGTCACGCATTCTTTGCTCACTTCAGCTTCTAAGTTTCATGCTGCTAGGAACTGCAAAAGCACTCAGTATTTGCAACAAAAAACTCTTTACCAGTTTGAAGGAGCACAAATTATAATTCAGAGGGGAAAATTATTTTGATTAAAGTACAACGAAAATTCTCTTTAACAGCTTTCTCAGTGACACACTTATGGGGGAAAATTAAATTAGGAAAGGAAGAAATAGACATAGATGAGAAGCATGTTAACTAAGAGTTGAATATGCTCAGTATTTTGGAAAATTAAGTCATAATAAATATTCATGATAAACAATCTGTGCAAAATAGAATTATTAATTAACCGAAGTTAATCCCTTATTCCAGAAACAGTTACATCTTCTCCAAGGCTTTAGTTTAAAATAGGTTTTACTGTTACTATCTTGATGCAAGGGAAATGGATGATTTTTTCCCCTGTTATTTCTAGGGAAAACTTGACAAGGCTGTTCCACTGTATGAGCTAGCAGTTGAAATTCGACAGAAGTCATTTGGCCCAAAACACCCCAGTGTAGCAACTGCTCTGGTAAATCTGGCTGTCCTTTATTGTCAGATGGTAAGTTTTTCATGCCTAAAATGTTTATTTTTCCTGTCCTAGACCTTAGACCTCAATAAAACCAAAGAAACTTGATCATGTTTAAAAGGGAAATTCCTTGTAAGACTTGTATAACTAAAAATCTAAGGAGGCTGCAGGCTTTCTAGCCTGCAACTAATATAGGATTCAGAGGAGATGCAATCAACTTGCTGAACTCCCTAGCATCAATAGGAATGAGTTTGTTTTCTTGTTTCCTGGATTTCTGCAATCTGTTTATCTGATTTTTAAACAGGGATTAAAGCTGCCTTAGGTAAAATCAAAGAGCATCTGGTAAATCTTTCAGGACTGAGGTTTTCAGAACTGCATGGGGAGTCCAAACCCTAATTAGAATTAGTGGGAATTGCATTTGCAAGTGCAAGCCAATTGCTTTGACAATCTCAATTATCATCCTCGTGTCAACAGTATTGAGAACTCAAAACATCTTGCTGGTTAAATATGTATCTAGGATGCTTTGATACTATGTTGGCAAAAAAAGAAAAGCAAATGTAATACACGTGTAACAAAAAAACTTTCTACTACCCAAAGAAAAAACAGATTGAAGCTTTGCCTCTTTACGAACGTGCATTAAAGATTTATGAAGACAGCTTTGGCCACATGCATCCTCGTGTGGGGGAAACACTGAAAAACTTGGCTGTGCTAAGGTAGGAGTATATGCTTCCACCCTATAAAAGCAAATTACTGGATGAAACAAAACATCCTGGGCCTGTGTACTTGCCAGGAAAGTAGAGAGCCTTAAGTACTCTGTGGTGTGTATTTCAATTTCAATGATTTGAGAGCCTTGTTTTATTTGCTTTTTTCAACTGTGTTTTACTCTTTTCCAAAGCTATGAAAGGGGAGACTTTGAGAAGGCTGCTGAACTTTACAAGAGAGCTATGGAAATAAAAGAAGCGGAGACTTTGTTGATAGGTGGTAAAGCAACTTCTCGACATTCATCGAGTGGAGACACATTCAGCTTAAAAAGTGCATTATCACCAAATATTTTCCTGGAACATGGACAAAGGTGATATAAACCTGCTTCAAGAAAATGCAATCTCTATTGATATTTTAAAGCAGACAGAAAATTCCCAAGACAAATCCATTTTTCCAAGGATTACATACTATTTTGGGGCCGACACCTGTCTTCATGAATGACAGTGAAACAAATGTTTCAGCTTGAAATCCTCCAACTTTGCAGGCTGTATGGCATGAAGTGAGCTGCTTTCATTGTATATAGGTGCACATATTAGTTGCTTGCTCAAGTTATAGCTAATACCAAGAACATGGACTTGATACCTCTTAGCCCAAGTGCCAGGATTATAACAAGTTAAGCTGAACCGCTTGTATAATCTCTATGGGGTAGTTCTTATTTCTGTGCTGTAGTAGCATGGCTTAGAGGATTTATGTATTTTTGCTTCATCAATCCTTTCTCCCTTTTCAGAAGCCTTTAAAGTTGTTTCTGAAGAGATGGTAAATTTGAAAAATTTTTGAAAATACTGTTCCACTGAAAGTTTTACCTGCAGGGTTATTTCAGCTTTAAGCAAACTTGCATTCAAGGGACTTGTGCAAAATTAATTGCTTTCCTTGGGAAGCTAAAATATCTAAATGTATCATCATCTACAGTTAAAGCTGTTGTCAGATTCCACTCTGTTCCGTAAAAATAAAATATAACCTATTTCAGCCCTTGTTCTAGTTAGGAGGAATTTAATATTTTTGTAAGGCTGTAACTTGGCAAAAGAAACAGTATATGAAACTGACAGCACAAGCATACAGCCCAAATTTGATTTTTAAGATGACGATTTAGTTTGAAAAAAAAAAATCAAAAATAGCTCTTGAAGGTATGATAATACAGCAATAAGAGCTGGCACTTCGTTACAGCTCTCTGGATATTTTCCTCTTATTCAGAAAATGGGTTTTTAATCAAAGCATGAATTTTATCACTGTATTCCAGCTACCTTGAAGAGTTTTGAAAATGGGAAATTTTCTTTGCAGGATTGTTACCAGCTGAGGGGGCAGAAGGGAGAATGAACATTAAAAAAACCCAAACCAACCAAAAAACTCAACCTACTTAGTTTGTGTGTGTTTCTGTTGCCTGCTGTTCCTAGATCTCGTAATTCCCTTCTCTAAAGAATTACCAGATGTCTGCTCTGTCACCTCTGTTGTGATTTTAACATGTAGAATGATGTATCTTGCTTACCTAAATAGTTTTCCTTAATGTTTCTGATTCAAATAAGAAGCAGCTTTCTAGATCTTCAGTGTTACATTAGACTTTACTACAGAAAGTAAAGCAAGATCACATAGGACTAAGGGTCCTATGGCTGCATGTCAGCTGTAGTCACTGTGTGCTCACAAGACAGCTGTCCCTCTAATTGCACCTCATGGACAGTAAGGAAAAGTAATTTGTATATATGGTGTATGCCAGGTAATAATTCTCTGTAGGAGAATTCCTCCTCAAAACTGAGGATCACCAGCTTCAAGGGAGATTTAATTACACAGTTACAGAATATAAACATCTTAGTAATATTCATGCTGCACTGTAAAGACGGAAAACTTCTTTTACAAGACTGCCAAATAAAGCTGGACTTAACCATGGCAATGTGCTTTAATTTGTTAGTTCATAACAAAAGAAGTAATAAATTTTCTATCATGTTTTACAGTTGGAGTAGATTATACTTGTAAATGTCTTTTTAATTAAAAAAAAAATCCTTAAATTTGCTTTTTTTGATGCTGTTTATTTTTAAATAATTTAACCATTGGCACATACAATCATCTTAATGTATTTTCTGATTATGTCAAATTTTTCGTGTATATACAAGTTGAAAGTCTGAAAGTAACATGAGAATCATTTTGTTTACTCTGTAGTTGGGCATACAAAAGTATATTAATTTGCTCATAAACGTGTACGTGAAGTTGCCTCTTGTAAAGCTGTCAATCATGTGATAGCAGTCATGTCAGCCAAATAGTTAAGAGTCAAGATGAGCTCTTGTAGAAATGAGTTCAGCCATTTGCCTCAGGATCTCCAGAGCCAGGTGTGTGCCTCACTTTTATCGCTCCCAACAGAAAGGTGAAGTCACATAGAAATGTAAGTAACACTTAAACTGACACTTGGATGAAGCTAACACAGACTTGGTAACACAGATTCAAGTATGAACCTTTTTAGTGGTCTCATTTTTCCATTTCCCATCCCTCTTTACAGTTCTTTCTGAGATGTTTCTCCAAAACCGAACTCAATCAAAAACCCAAACTAACCAAACAAAAAAACCAGTTCCATTTTACAGTATAATATACCCCACTCAAAACCCACCTAAAACTTCCCTCACTAGCTTCAGAGATGATTATTCTGTGTCTAATATAACTCGATGTCAGCTGTGGAGGAAACAGATTTTGAAGTTTGTAACCATTGCTAAAGAACTGAAACATTTCTTTCACTAAGTATTCGTTCAGCTGCCCTACGCAGCAGAAGCACTGGCCACAACATTGCGCTCTCTTTACACGGTGCTGGTTCTGTGTTGGCTGCATCATGCTGTGGAGAAGTTTTTCGAAGAGCCCAACCTGAAAATACTTGTATTATACTGCCGAAATTTACCTTCAAAGCCAAACTGAAACAACTATCACGTTCTGGATCAGACAGCCACAGTAGTTAAAATATTTTAAACTGATCCTTCCAGTTCTGCAGGGTACTGGTGTTACAGGATGTAGTTTAACATGTGGTAATTCCTTCATAAAGCCCATATGATGGGAAGGGATCAGAATTACAGCTAAAGTTTCAATAACCAACAAAAATATAATATTTAGATCTTTGAAGAGAGAGACAAAATCTCCCGTTCTTTCCAATGTTGCTTGTAATTTTGATAAGAAAAGCATCTGCCAGCTGAAATAGTGACATCCTAATACGCAGTCTGTTCATATAATACAAACAAAAAGACTTCACCTTCTTACAATATACTCAAAACATTACCCTATAGGAGCTATTTAAGGACAAGTAGTAGTAAGACATTGATAAAACTAGGCAAGTTTAAAAAAAATGCCATCCCAGAGATACTTAAGGCAGATGAAAAGGCTTAAATGTTTTGATTACTCAGAAAAAGAAGCCACAGCATGATCCATGCCAAGCATTTAGACCAGTGAACAACAACCAAGGACAAGTGCCAGGAAAATCAGGAGCAGCAACACAAATGAGGCACTATCATCTGCCCTACACCTTCTCAGTCCACTCCAGCAGATTTCATCTTTCCCTTGTGCTATACTAGGTACTATTCTCATCACATGATAGGGTATATAATGTGCTATGCCTGCTTTCGTTAGTTTGTCCATGTCCTTTTACTTTCTGCTGAATATCTGGACACTAACAATGCTGAGAAACTAAAATTTACAGTAGCACAATTCTGTATGGTAAAGAGTGACTACATAACAGAACATAAACAATGTAAATCTGTGTCCTTCCTGCCCCTGTAACAGTTCCACTTCTTTAGAAAGGTAAAGGTAAGCTTCACTGGAGGTAAAAAAAGAAAAAAAATAAGGAGACTGGTCTTCTCAAAGTCCATGTTGATCCGAAGTTGTACTTAGTATTTGTTTTTCTACATGTTTCTCATTTTGGCCATGAGTTCTTCTAGGCTTTCTTCAGACTCTGCTACCGTTTCCTTCATTATCAAATTCTCTTCCTATTAGGAACAGGAAGAAAAAGTTGGTAAAAAAATAGCAAACAAAAAATCCCACACAAATTAGCTTTATTGCCTTTACACCACACCATTTTCCTAGAACCAGGCACTTGATTGCAGGATCAGGTGTAAGTGATTATACACTTAAATTGTAAAATGTATTTCGCTTTGGAGTTAGAATGTTCTGGCTGTGTGACATACAGTTCTATGTTTCCCAGGTATACTAATTGCTCTTTGACTACATACAGCTTTTATAAGATAAGTATGGTAAAAATTAATTAGTCACCAAAAAGCAACTGAGAAATTCACATTTGTTTCCCTTCCCCCAGCCCTGAAAAGCATTTATTCTTATCACCTCAAAACTACATTCACACCAGCTTCCATACTTAAGGAAATGTATTTCACAGAAACATAAAAGTGGACCATAGAGTGCACTAATCAGATATACTGAGGTCCAGTTTCACTGGAACTGTTCAAGACGGAATTTTATTTTAGGTTTAAAGGTTACCAAACTAGCTGGTATTCTAAAGTTAACCTACAATGTGTATTTCAAAAATTCACAAAGAACAAGTATATTACCTTTTCTGGGATAGTATATGCTACAGTAATTCCCTCAGGAAGGTCGGGTACTGGGCCAGATGCAGCCTTCAGCTCTTCTTCTGAAGTTTCTGATACTAATTCGATGCCTTTGCATTAAAAGAAATCGAGAACTCCCATTAAAAGTTAGAAGAAAAAGTTCTTTAATAACCAAGCTATCACAGTAAGAGGTAAGCTGCAGCCACTTTTCTGAAACAGAGAAAAATTAAAAGCAGAAAGACCTTTGATTTCAACCACTTCCTTCCACTATCAATACAAAATATCTTCTCTTTACAATACATGAAGCAGTTCTATATATTTAACTTATGGACAGAATGGCACCTCTTCCTTGTCCTTACCATTTAAATCTTACTATGTGGACACCTCTGCCAATGGTAAGATAAGACTATTTTCTAGATCATATAATAAACAGAACGTATACCCTGGTTCTTGAAATAGTTATATTTCATTTATACCATTTACCATTCCTTAAGACAATTCCTTCTAATATAAAGCCCTCAAAGGAATATAAAAATTCCATGGGATGCCTCAGCACAGTGGTTATGGAAAGGACAAATGCTCTTCAGTATATTTAAAAGGAATGCACAGTTCATGCATCTTCTCACATCTCTCTCATCCTTAGACCATCTTCCAAGAAAGGTTTTTATTCAAGCAGCAGTTACATTTTGAGCCTAAAAACTTGCATATTACACTAAAAACACATCATCAGGTTGTGGTAAAATTATTGTCAAAACCTGTGTTTTTAAAATTACAGCAGTAATTACACAGTACAAGTTACAAAAAACAGGAACTTTAAGAATTCTCTGTATCCTACAGTATGTTCACCCAAACTGAATCTTGGTACTGGGAACATCATTTAGTCTCCAGCTGGTTACTTACCCCAGTCATTGTCTTCATGTACTATTTCATCTTCCTTTTCAATTACTTCTTGTTTTGGTCGTGCAGCTTCTTTCTTCTGAAGGAAAAACACAGAAAGATAAAAACCATAATAAGTAAAATGTAACAGTCAAATTTCCAACAGCAGCGAAGAAGATCAAATCTAATATTCCCGTTTCTTTCAATATTTAAGATAAGCAGTCACAGTTTAGAACTTTGTTAGCCATAAAAAAGGCAGAATACCTGCTGGTTAAAAAACACCAAACCCATTAATACATAGGACTGCCAGAAAGGTTGAGCCATTATGTACAAGCAAATATTATTTAACTGAATGCAAGCCATTCTTCCTACCCTTTGCTTTAAGATAACTCTACATACTGTATATTTAGAAACATGTGCAACCATCTGAGGACAAGGCTGCTTAAAACTGGAGTAGCAATTAACGTTTTCTTTTACTACACGTTTGTATCTGGCATTGTTCTTAAGATTTTAAGAAAGGGAAAAAAAGAAAACCCAAACCATTTTTACCTTATAAATTTCTTGCTGTTTTCTGCAATTGTGGTCACTACATTGTGGGTTTGGCTTCATAGACATAGTTGGGAAGAAATCCTGCATTGCATTGTAACCAAGATAATAACTCACAGTACCAAAATTTAACAGGTATCTAGAAACACAGAGAAAGAAGGAGCTTATATACAGTAATTTATATTATATTTATGCAAACCTAAAACTTCAGTTGCTCAAGGAATAATTTTTCCTCATAGAGCTTTTAGAACACACTCACACTACTGCAGTTGTAAAGAGTTACTGTAATTGTCCTAAATAACCTGTAGTCACCTAACAACAGCATAATTAGATCAATATAGAATCTGATTCTCTTGTGGTGTGTGTGAGAACACATCAGCTACACTCAGAAATATGCTTAGAGTAGTATGTAAGCAGTTTCCTCCCATGCCTTAATCCACTGCTTGAAACACTGGGGTGCCCTGATTTTTAATAATTTTTAATACACCTGATTTAATAATTTTTAATAATGTAATAATTAATAATAATTTAATAATCTTTATTGTAGGGTCCACTTTGCAATCAAAATAAAGATTCAAATTAAGCTGCAATGTTTGCATTCTTCATTTAAATAAAACGCCTCTCTGGACAATTGAAAATGGAGCTTTGTTGTTTGTGGGCACACTTGCAAACAGTACTTTCACTCCCTGTAACTAGAAATTTTTGGGTAATGGACAAAACCAAGCTAAGGCTAAAAAGAGGCTAAATACAATCTTATTCTCAAAGATACCTGTAAAACAGTGTGTCATTTTGAAAATGAGTACAAAATTGTTCAAATATTTTCCTTGCTGATACATGCAACTCCTGTAGCAGTTGCTGTAGAGTCATGCTTTTTGGAAATATTAAAATATTGCATATTGCTTTATAACTATTTTTATAACAATATTAAAATATGTCATATTGCTTTATAATAGGTTTTTAAAAACACTGCAAGAGAAGTAATTTATTCTTTGTCCATGTACAAAATTTCAAAGACAAGCCAGCCCTGTAGCATTTTTTGTGTGTAACTTCATGATGTCAAACCAGAGCACCTTTAAATGCAGAACTAAGAAAAAACAGTGCATGTGTGTATGCAGTAAAAGAAATTTTTTTGAAAACCCTGAGATTGTTTCTTACCCCTGAAAACTTCCATTTAAAACAGCAGTTCCAAAGTAAACACAGCAATGCTCCAAGCAGTGTATACTTCAGCCCTGTCCAATCATGCCAATACCATTAGGAAACAGGCCACAGACATTTAAAAAGAACCAGGCCCATCATTATGAAAAGTTCCTTCAGGTTTTTCTTCTCTTATTGGGCTGTAAATCAAATAGCAACAACTCAGTCACTTACTTCAGAACATTTTGTACCAGCATTCCTGCCACAACACCCATAGTTGTAGGAAGACTGGCTGCACAAACTCCTTCTCGTTTTAATGTCTTCTCATCAATATTTGCAGCAACTACAAGTGGAGGAGCACACTGAAGGGAAATGAAGAAACTGAGTTTAAAAGAAGCATTAAAGAAATCCCACAGATCACAAAAAATCTTCAGCTACTGAATCAGCTGTGCCAGGATCACTCTCACTAGCCAGCTAATCTCCATATTCCCAGTCCCTCTTTAATTAGCAGAGCGTCGCATACCGCGAAACAGGCAGATTCACCAGGTACGATCAGCTGTATGTGGCCCGACACTGCATTTTCACTGACTCCAGATTCCATCCAGACTTGTCCAAGTTCATTGCAGGCCTTAACAAACACAGAAACACACACATCAGCACTGCAGAAGTTTAATGAAAATGAAAAGAAACCCGAACCACGTTGTAAGTGGAGAGTGATTAAACACATTCATCTCCCTGCTTTAAGACAAAAAGGCTATGATCAGAAAAAGGGACATGAAGAGATAGAAATTATTTATCAGAGTCAAAAGACAAATCAAAAGGCAAATTAAAACTGCCCCCATGAAGGTAGCTCGTTGTACTTTCCTGAGGACCTGAGATTTTTTAACAAATATGGACATTAGTGATCCAGTTACATTACACTACAGAATCTAATCGGACAATCTACTTTTAGAGGCTTGGATATGGTGTATCTGTGTACCTTCCCTGCCTGCAATTTATGGATCCAGTCAGCTGGAGGATAACAGAAAACATACATTTGGCATACACCCTGCATTGGCTGCTACTATAAAGAAAATCAATTTGATTAGGTACACAGCATTAAGTCATTTTTATTATATAGAAAGCTGCTAGTAACTTAAAAATCTACAATTCTATTTGGGTTTTATAAGAACTGGGTAAAAGCTCAGATTCAGTTTCCTTAAACCAAGGGAGATATTTCTTAAGAGATTCTTTTTAAGTTCCTGTCTTTTCTACAGTCCCCACAGTTCCTAACATTGGTTACAGGAGAAAATAGACTTCCACAAGCTCACACCTTCGATGGTCTTACCGTATTAATCGCCATGCGAGCTTCGAAGTTGTCCACACAGCTTAGAACAAGGTCGACGGGTTTCCCTTCCTCCAGTGCACCGTTACTGAAATAAGCATCAGAAGTTTGCATGAAATTGCTGGCAGAACAAAATACCAACCTGGCAACCAACATGCCTGCTTTTAGGGTACAGAAGCCGATGGGAAGTGAATTTCTAACACAACTTGTGCAGATGCAGAATAGCGTCAACCAGCATGTCTGATCTACAGAGGAAACAACAGCATGCTGAAGCTGGGATTTAATATATGGGCATTTGAAACTCAAAGAAGTTTTCTATATAAAACACTCACTCACAGTACAAAGTATTGGAGAATTGTACCTTGGTACGACAGAACTGCAAATGGGAAAAGTTTTTTCAGATCTCCTCTGTGAAATCCACTAATAACTATTTTCTTTCTTTGTTCTATAAAGCATATGAAACCACTTTAAAGCAGTCAAAATATGATCTGATGTGTTTTCTATAATGGGAAAAGCCTGCAAGTCCTACAGTTTTGGCTGCAAATCTAAAAATGCACCAATATAAAATATAACTGTGTAACAGCAGAAATAAATGCCAACTCTAGAGAAAACATCTAGGCAGGAATATCTTCAAATACAATTGAAAACCACTGGAAAATATTTGTAAGTTATTAAATTCAAAAAATCCCTCAACAATAAAAGCATGAGGCTGTATAGAATCACACATCAGCAGAAGTTGGTGACATGCTTTTCTTGAGAGATTTTACCTTATTCTGTCCATGAAGTGTTCAAAGTTGTCCAGTGTTGTGATGTTGTAGTTATGTACTTCAAACTGAACATCAGGATTAATATCCCTTATGGAGGAAATAATATGAATCAATAGTGATGAATACAATGATAATTTGCACTCCCTAACTTCACAAGTGTTACTACAGTCTTAAGTTTCCAGCCTGAACTCAAGAATACATGCATATTTCTCCAAAATTCACAGATTAGATGAGAGAAAAACCCACAATATATTGAATTGGCATAGTTTATACGAAAATTCTGAGCAAAACTAGCTTTACTTAAAAAGTAGACTCACTTTAAGGTTTTGGACAATATGTCTTTGAAGTATAAACCATTCCCACAAATATTTTATACTCAAATTCCCCAGTTAGATCATGGTCCTTTGCAAATGATTAAGAGCGAAACATTGGTTTTCTGGAGCAACATCCTGGGCAAATATATTTTAATACCCACTTCTCTAAGTTATACCTCAAAGTATGTTCTGCTGCTTGCACTTTACTTAATCCAGCTTGATGAGGTTGGAAGAAGAGTCTGTTCATGTTTGCAAGTTCCACCTTGTCATAGTCAAACAGTAGCAGCTACAATAAAGATTGTATTAACATGTTAATATCAAAAGACACAGCAACCAGAGTCTTATGGCAAGGCATTTTAAACAACAAAACTAATTCTAAAAAGACCCAACAAAAAACTACCCCAAGCAAACAGCCCTCTACCCCTGCAGTGCCATTCAGTTCACATATAAAAAGTGCCAATTTTGTAAGTGCATGAAAGACTCAATTCTAACTCCCATTCACCAGGAACCAATTTGTTAAGTCATGAAAACTACTCTTAATAATAAGCAATCTATTCATTTGATCTAAAAGAAAGATTATTCAGCAGATTAATCTACATGAGCATGATCACCTCTATTTTCACATTCCTACTTGCTATTACGGTGTTAACTAAAAATGTGCCATTTATTTCACTTGTCTTGGGATGTAGTTCTTCAAAAACAATTCTCTTCAAAATACCTACATAGTACATGGACATGTTGTTTATTATAAATTCTAAATCAACTATGCCTAAGATATTGGTCTTCAGAGGAACAAACTTTGCAATAAAAAATTGCATCACTTCTGTATTTAAAAACTTGCCAGAGTTTTAAGAGTAAATGGTCAGGCTTTGCCTGGAAATACAAACATTTGAGCCATTCCTCAAATTCCTCCTTTAAAGAAAAGTCGTATACACACTACACACACATCAAATTATTTTTAACTGCTGCTAAATTTTTAGCTCCAAGTCTGCCACATGACAAACTAACATTTGTGATAAAAATATCTGTTTGACATCCACCACGTTTCAAATTCGTGAATATAAACTTGTTATTATAAGATTTAATCTTCTATGCAAGCTATCTCGTTCTTTTTCTTTGTTTTGTTCTCCTTTTGCAATAATCCAGTATGAGGGTTAGATGGATGGGCTCATACAGGAGTACGGAGATGACCAAAATCCAAACAAGGATCATCCACATGATACAGGATTTCAATTTTACTAGTGTAAGAAAAGTACAGACTCTTCATGTGCAATGTTTACGCAAGTGCTTTCTTCACAACAGTCTTTTTATTTGAGTAAATCAACCAAATAAGATCAAATCAAACTCTTCATAAAGAGGACTGGTCCATTTACTGTAAAGAAGTAGAATAAAAAAAAAAACTCTCATTACCTTACCAATGCCACACCTTGTCAACATTTCAGAAGTCACACTGCCAACTCCACCTACACCTACTATTGCAACTGTAAAGGTACGGATTTTCTGTAGAAAGAAATAAAATACAGACAAGCATATGAAAAGTGGTCCTGCCAGGGAAAGAATACAAGTAATGTTTCATTACAGGTAGAATCCTACCTCATAGTCTTTAACAATTCCCATCCTTTTTAACGCCATCAAGCGACTATGAATAAAAAAAACACACAACGTTACACAGAAAATGCTCTCTATGTTCCTAATAGCAATTTTACTTTTCAGATATTTAAAATCACTTTTGCTTTAAAAGTAACCCCTCCATGCACCAAACTCAACCCTGCTGCTTTCACTGCAGTTGTGATGGCCAACTAGGTACAGTCTGAATAAGAGAGCAGATGCTTTCCTATTAGCAATAGAGTACTAACCTCTGCAGAAACTTGTGTTCTTATTCAGTTGGTAATGTCGATGAAATCAGGAGGACACATAGCTATTTTTGTATATTAATGTCTGATTTACAGAATGAAAGATGACACTTCTTTCTGGTCATGAACCATATGGCAGCAAACTAGTGAAGACTTGCACTGTTTTCTGATAAATTTGATTATACTAACTCCAACATAACATTAAAAAAACCCACAAAAATTGAGACTATCAGTTTTTGAGGATAACTGAAAGGATTTTAAAGCAACATTTTATCCAGTTATTGCATTTTTACATTGAAAGTATCAATGAAAGTACAGATATCAACTTGTATTAAGGCGGGGGAGGGGGGGAGGGGCATCATCAGATTTCCAGAAGAGAAGGGGTCCCTGATGCTCAGTAATTCCATAAACCAAACTCTAAAATAGGTAAGTTAGGAGGAAGAAGACCTCATACTATACCAACACCTGTCAATTTATTAGCAACCTAGCTGAAAACTCACAAGGTCTCCTCTCTCTCTCTCGCTCTCGTACCGTAAAACAAGGTAATACAATGTAGCCCTGACATACACCCCTGTCTGCCCAGGCAGGGGGGAAATCCGAGAGCATCTCTCCCCTGCTCCCCACAGAGCATCTGCCGTCAGCGTTGCCCTGCCATCCTCCTCGGCACGCCCAGCCCTTAGACCCGCACCTGCCCGAGCCCCCCTCCCCGTGCCTCCTCCCCTTCCCCTCCACCCGCAGCTCCAACCCACGGCCCTCCCTCTCGCCTATGCTCTCCATCCTGACGGAATCCTCCGCGTCCCGCACGGCCCCTGGCCCGGCCGCACCTGTAGGGGTTGGAGTCGGTCACCTCCGGGCTCATGGTGTCGATGCGGGCCCGCGCCGGCCGCCGCCCGCCCCGCTCCCGGGCCAGCTCCTCCTCCAGCTCCCGCACCCGCCGCTCCAGCCGCTCCAGCCGGCCGGCATCCGCCATGGCAGCGACACGTCTGCCCGCCCGCCCGCGGCAGCTTCCGGGAAGCGCCGGGGCGTTCCCATCCCGGGGCCGCCTCCCGACACCCGGCGGTGGGAGTGGGCGAGCTCCGGCGGCCGCGGCTGTGGGCGGGGGTGTGCCCAGGTGGTGCCTTCCTCCCGGGAACGCTGTCTTCCAGGAGAAGCCCCCCAACCCCGGCAGCCCCGGGTGCGGGCTGCACTTTCCTTGGCGGACCGAGGCGCCTCCGGGCGGCGGCGGACGGGACAGGACGGGACGGGTTGGGGCGGGGCGGAGCGGGCAGCGGCGGAGCCTCCCGGGATGGCGGCGGAGCCGGGCACCAGCGAGGTGCGGCGGCAGCACCGCTTCGACCAGGGCAGCTTGGAGCGCTACCTGAGCAGCCACCTGAGCGGCTTCCCTCGGCAGCCCGCGGGCGCGCTGGCTGTCAGGCAGTACAGGTAACAGGTGACTCAGGTGGCACAGGTGACAGAGGTAGCGGGCGAGCCGCCGCTCTCCTGCCCCAGCGCCCCCGGCGGGGCCAGAGCCGCCTCCGTGGCTGGGACATGGGCTGTGAGCCCGCACTGCGAGGCCAGAAGAGGAGCCGCTCGCTGCTGCCTGGCAGGGAAGGTGGCCAGAGGAGAGGTGTTCTGGGAATGGCGGACAGCAGGCACCGAGAGAGCAGCCCGTACCTCGGGCGGCTGGAGAAGTCAAAGGTTGCGGTGGCGGCGAAGGTGACCTTTGTCACAGGCAGTGTGTGCCCGCAGCTAGCTGTCTGCGGCTGGGCTGTGTGTTGGTTGGACTCCCCGCTGTCCTCAGAGTACTCGCACGATCGTTTTATCGCCTCTCAATTTACCTGCTCCGTCTTCGATTGCACAGCAAATAGTAATGTTCAGAAGCACATACACAACTTAAGGATTCAATTATAGAAGCGTTAGGCTGTCGCCGGTTAAGCAAATCCGTGAGAACAGGGCAAGGATGTGTTGAAATTCCCATAAACGCCCTGAGTAATGCCATGCGCCAGTGAGGTGCCACACCCAGGCTCCAAAGCCTCTATTCAATAGAACGGTGGGTTCATTCGCATTCAGCAAGTTAGTGTTGTTGCTGCATGACTTCACATTAGAAGGTATTCCAAAAATAAGTATTAATTCCTCTGTAAACATGACCTTGAGTACTTTATCTGCAGCCATCACTAAGAAACAGTAAACAATTTTTCATTGTCTTCTATTGCAAATATAAACCATCCATTGAATCCTCAGCTGTACTGTGATTGAGGAGACTTTAGGAAGGGCCTTAGGAGAGTAGCTAATAGTAAAATCTGCTCTTACTACTTTGCTTGTCTTGTAGTTGCTGTTTGAGGCTTCAGCTGGTGTAAATTTCTTTTGTGCTAGGCAGAGCATTTGTCAGTGCAGTATACTTGTTAAACTGTGTTACAAACTATGCCCTAACTGCTTCAGGGAGAATGGAAATGTAATGGGAGGCATGAGGGAAAAAGTTCACTTGGTTTTTATTTTCTAGTAGTTGTTCAATCTTTTATTGGACCAAGTCAGAATGCATCTTAAGAATTATGTAGAATGAGGAAAGAAAGGCATGCAGATTAGCACAGAGCCTTGAGGAAAATAAGGGTCAATGAGCTTGGTTGGAATATGATGGAAAAGATATTATGAAGGGTTTAACTAGGTTGTCCTTTTCTTTTACACATTATGCGATTGAAATGTTTTTCTTTGTCACTTCAACATTTGTTCTTTAAAATTTTCCTATAGGCTGGTCCCTTAAGCATAGCATATGGACATCGTGATCAGGCTGGCATACAGTGGAGCTTGGTACTAGAATCATCAGTAGTTTAATCATAGAATAGAATCATAGAATGGTTGTAAGGGACCTGAAAGACCATCTATTTCCAACTCCTTGCCACATGTAGGGATATATTTCTCTAGACCAGGTGGTTCAGAGCTGCATCCAGCCCGGCCTTGAACACTACCAGGGATGGGGCATCCACAACTTCTCTGGGCAGTCAGTTCCAGTCCCTCACCACTCTCACAGTAAAGAATTTTTTTCTAATATCTAATCTAAACCTGCTCTCTTTCAGTTTGAATCCATTCCTCGTTGTCCTGTCACTACATGCTCTTGTAAAAAGTTCCCCTCCAATTTGGAGAGCTTTCTTTATGCTTACATTGTTCAAAAAACAGCTCACCATAGGACAAATACAGTTATGAACTAGTGAGAACTCTGCTCTGTTTAATTCCTCCAAATCAGAAAGCTTTGAAGTTAGTATCTACTGCGTACCTTGAATAAGTTAATGATGTCTCTTTATGGAGGAGAGGTAAAGGCTACAGGAGAACAAATTGGCTGTGATCTGTCCACAGTGAAAGACGTCTTTCTTATAAGTAGGAATAGAACCTCTGACTTTTGATTCTGTACTCTATCACTTGCTTCCTGTTAAGACTAGATTTGAAAAAAAAAAACACAGCACAAAACAAGTCCTGAGAAGAACTCTTTCCTCTGTCCTGCCATTTTGTTCAGGCCAAGCTGAAGTGCATTTTGCATCATTTCTGTTAGAAGTTTACAAATTTGTAAGTGCTTGAATTTGTAATTATAATCTCTCTCTTTGTAGCTCAGGCCAGTCAAATCCAACCTTTTACCTTCAGAAGGGTGGTCAGGCTTATGTGCTCAGGAAGAAACCCCATGGCCCCCTTTTGCCTGGAGCGCACAAGGTAAGTAATGTTCCTCATCAAGCTCCAAACACTTGGTATTGCAAGTGACTAAGTCCTGTACATGATGGTCTGGCGCTATTTTGAGTGTGTCCAGAAACGCAGTGAACCGCTGGATCGTTTCCGGTGTTCTGTGAACTAAACATTGTCATTCACTGTGATCATTTATGCTTGGGAGGTTTTAACTGAACCTAAATTTCTGTGTCGCCTTCAGGTCGATAGAGAATATCGTGTGCAGAAAGCCTTATTTTCAGCTGGCTTTCCGGTGCCTGAGCCCCTGTTGTACTGCAGTGACATTTCTGTCATCGGAACAGAGTTTTACGTAATGCAGCATGTGCAGGTTGGTCCTCCAATGTGAGAGGTTCTTTCCTTCTCCGTACTACAAGATGCTTTTAAATTGCCTTTCTGTTAGAGCCTTACTCATCACTCACTAAGTTTTCTGATATGAACATAAATAATCTTCTGATAATTTTAAGAAATGCTAGCTATCAGTGATTCTCACAGATTTCAGCTTCTCCAAGGCTTATTTTCTACTTTGTTGAAACATTCAGCTCAGTATTTGACCTCTTGTTCTTGTTTTGAGTTCTCAGAAGGATGCCTTGCAATAAGGCAATATTTTTCCTGTGAAAAGCATGCACAAGTCAGAGGGAAAATAGTCAGTTGATGAAGTTATACTAAATCTTTGGACATCCTGTGGCCTGTTTAGTACCGAAGATAGGAGCTGACATACAATCACCTTTTCTTGAAAACCAAGCAGGATTCCAGTTCAGACATGGTTTCAGAAAGAATACAGCATAGTTCTGTCTGTGGTCTTTCGCATCTGGGGGTACTGTTGCTGAATTGATAGTGCTTCTGTTAAATTTTGGTGATTTTTGAGTGGAAGTATACCATATTAAGGGGTTTTTTTTTTCCCACTGGAGGAGAATTTGATTCAGGCCTCTATCCTTTCGTTGCATCCTACTCTGTCATTAGGTTAACTGGGAAATTAGAAATATAAGAGTTTGTTGGCCCGTTCCTGGAGATTAGGTTAACTTTCCGACAAAAACCATGAATCAAGAGTAATATAATGTAAGAGCTATGAAAAATTTGAAACCGATTTCTTACATTAAAAATGGAGAATTTTTCTGGTTTTGACTACAAGAAAGTGATTCCTTAAGAAGAAACCTTGCTGCATTTCTAAGTATGTAAATGTACAGTCTGTCCATTCTAAGATGGACAGCACTGCAATGTTTTTAACAAATACATTGTGTATTTAGAAAACAACCATATGTTTATTCTGTTGAATAAACTATTGCACAATACAAAACCTGATCTTGAGATTTCCTATGCAGAACCTTTTAGTAAAAGAAATTCTCTTGCTGCTTTAGCTGTGTAAATATATTGAAACCATCATGCAAAACAGTGAAATTGAGGATATCAGAGGAGAGAGGAATCTGTTTTTCCTCTTCCAATCTGTTGCTGGCAGGGTCAAAATTAAAGGAGAAAATGGAAAAACACACCCATCTTTTAAATATATTAAACTGCCTTTAAGGAGAACACAAGTGAATTTCTGTGGATTGTTTGCCTCAGCATGTGCAACCCTCCTATTTCCCTCCTCTCCCTGTCTGTGGGCCCCCCCCCCCATCTCCTTCAGGTCTTCGTTGATATTTTTTCTGCAAGTTAGTTGTTAGAGGTAATGCAGCAACATTGTTTTTCCTGGTACTTTCAAGCTTCATGATATCTGGATTCAGTGCTCTAATTCAGACTTTCATCTACTGAATATATCTGTTATTTTAATTGCCTTTCATATACTAATGATCTGAGATTACTGTGAATCCCTTCATTTGCCCTGGGCAAGGAATACAGTAAAGGAGGAAGGAATTTTTGTTTGCGTAGGGGCTGTTGATTCCCTGCATGTGGTTTTGGTTATTAAAAGTAGAGCTTTACTTCTTTTCATGTGGTGTGTACATCTCACCAAATATCTGATTTATGGTGTTTTTAGGGTCGCATTTTCCGAGACATCTCACTGCCTGAAGTGGGCCCAGCAGAGCGTTCTGCTTTGTATATTGCGATGATAGAAACTCTGGCCCTGTTGCACTCCTTTGATTTACAGTCATTGGGCCTCCAAGGATATGGCAGAGGACCAGGATACTGCAAAAGACAGGTAAAACTCTTCAAAAAATTCTCTTGTCTTGTCAGGTCTTTGATTATTTATTTGATTTGCAAGTTAAATTATTAATTATTAAAAACTTGTGAAATTAACCATCATATTTTAGCTATTAAACACCTTCACTTAGTTCAATTATTTTGTGCACCGTGTAAAGCCACTGCTACATGCAGATTGGTTCT